TACACTGAGTACAAAGCTGAGCCGTTTTTCCTCATTCAGAATTTGTGGCTAACTATCGTAAACATGGACGCTGAGCTGTTATCAGAAAAGGGTTAAAAGGTGAACGCTGACATCGACCCGGGAACCTGCACAGGGAGGTGAGTGAAGGACGGCAGGTCCTCTAAATGCCTCGCGTGCTTCAAAACACCAAGATGAAAATGCTTCACATGAGACGACTCCCAGATCCAGAGGGTGACGTCACGGTTGCTGCTTCCATCTTTAATATACAGTCTGTGTAGGCCTTTTAACAATAACAAGGAGAAAATCTGACGAGTAAGGACCGAGAAGTGAAAGCCTCAAAGATGAGGTCATTTTGTAGTTCTATAATGACTTGTTGTTTCCTGCTTCATCAGTAAAGCTGGTACGAGAGTCGATCCATGTTGGTGCATTTAAAGCACACCGGATAATTGGGAGCTCGCTTCCATCCTTCACCTGTGCTGATGGCGACGTGTCGGCCCATATCACAGCTCATTAGAGCAGCAGCTCTGCAGGAATCTAATGGGCTCAAGAGGTTGTGGAGAGAGTCGCCTCTTTCCCGGCGTCTGACACGGCGAACGATTCCAGCGGCAGGCCGTCGAGAGGCCTGTCAGCTCAGTCCTCCGGCTCTCATTAGACCTCCGGGTTTATTTTTAGACTCCGATAAACCTGATTAGAAAGTGACATGAAAAGCAGCGAAGGCAAAGATTAAAAACTCTCAGCTAACAGCACAACATCGCAGAAGCTCCGGCTCATTTATGGGGAGCAAACTCAGGGTTGTTGGAGTTTTATGGGTAAGCTTTCAAGCGAGATCGCATTCATTTCTCCACATAATGCTTATTTTATGATTAAGATAAAGAAAATAATGAAAGAAAATGTGGAAAAGATGACAGCTCTGCGTCGTCAGTATAATCTGTTTCATATAGTCATCATTTATTCAGTATGTGTGAGACCTTTGCTTTAAGCATGTTTGATCATTAATAATTAATCGTTGGCGGATCATCACAGAATGTTTCAGGTGTTCAGGAGGCAACGATATCGAACACGATGACGCAACTTTTTACAAGATAAGCGTGAAAAGTCATGTGATGTCGTTGCAATCCCGTCACTGGAGGATCTTGAACGATGGGTGCTGCAGAAGGTTTCCTGCAGACGGTCTATTAAAAACCAGGCTACCAGCCAGGCGTTTTATAACCAGGCTATGAAAACAGAGGCAGGCACCTGCGAGCCTAATCTGAGGGCAAAGTCCTCCTGCGGCTCTCCCCTCGCTGCCTATAGCACCTCCCACAACAACAGCATGCCCACTATTTGAATTATTTTTGATTTCATTGAAATTAAAATCTTTTTTTAAGCTCAGTAAATACGCTGGGGATGACCTGCTTCCCTGTGTGGAGGAAGTGTTTCAGGCTCTTGTTCCCACCCTCGGCCACGAGCTGTGGGTGATGACTGAAAGAGTGAGATGGTGGATACATCCTGCAGAAATGAGCTTCCTCTGTCTGGCGTCTGGGGTTTTTCAGAGTAAAGCTGATGCTCCTTTGCTATGAAGAGAGCCAGTTGGGGGTTTGGGCATCTGACCAGGATGCCTCCTTGGTCAGGTGTCCTACTGGGAGGAGACGTCCAGACACACTGGAGAGATTGTTTCTCTGGAAAAGCTGGAGGAGGTGCTGCTGCACCTGCAGCCTGACCCTGACTAGAAAAGCAGCAGATGATGGAGTGATGCATGAAGCTACGATTATGGAACAAAATCATTCTGATCGTTTCTTCTTCTGTGATCGAGGAGCCCTGTGGGGATCCATGCACGGAGGCTGACTGCCTCCATCGGAGGTGGAGAACGAGTCACTCACGGCACTTCACAGTGACTTTAGTGACTTTATCTTTTTATTTTTAAATACTTAAGAAGATAAATCACATTTATACTAAAAGCTCCTTCAGATAAGTGATCTCAAGCTTCAGTTTAAATGTGCTGCTGTTTTTCCTGGACTGGAGACGACCAGTGTGGAGACGAGAGCTCGCTAAAGCTTTTTAAACCTTTCTACACTCGAGCTCATGACAAAACTTCATGACAGGTTCTCCTCAAAGTTCGGATTATGATCCCAGTGAAGATAAAATGGTGGAAAACTGTTATTAACAGGAAGAAGGATTTTTAAGAGGTTTAGGATTTTCTTCATTCTGTTCAATTCAGCTCAGTTTTATTTACATAGAAGCCACAACATTACCTCAACAATCACATGACCCCCTGTGAGCAAGCACTTGGTGACAGTGGGAAGGAAAAACTCAAGCAGGAAGAAACCTCCAGCAGAACCAGGATCAGGGCGGTGCAGCCATCTGGGGTGAGGGGAGGAAGACAGGTGAGCCACAGATTAATAATAAATAATGATTAAATGTAGAGAGGTGTATAAACACAGAGAATGACGATCAGTGAAGAAGAAACACTCAGTGCATCATGGGAAAGCCCAGTCACTGCTGACGTCACGATTAAGACAAACGAAAGGGTTTGAGTGGTCATATCAATATTTAAGGTGTGTTCAGAGACAATTTATGATGTGAGAAAACATTCCACCTTAAGAGCTGCCAGCAGCTGCCGGTTCCCTTTGACTGACTTTGATTCTACACCCTGAACAGTGGCTGATGGAGATGAGGGTGGAGAGACGCATCATTAGTGTGTAATCTCTCCAAAGGTATGAAAAGAGCTGCAGCTCGTGAACGTGTGTCATACTTAAAAGAAGAAGAAGCTGAATCTGTGCAGGGGTGATGCTCGTAGTAGATCTCATTACAGAGTCGCTCGACTCCTCTCGAGTGCAGCAACACTGACGTGATAACGAGTAAATATTTGGCAGCTGGTAATAATGCAACAGTGCAGCAGTGATTAGTTGGGTCTGTCTAATCTTTATCAGCCTGATTGATCCACGAGTAAAAAGTGCAGTCAGTCGCACGCTGAAGGAATGACAAAGTTTGAATGTCTTCCTGAGCTGGGAGGCCTGCTGACGTCCTTCAGGCTGAGATCAGAGCTCAGAGCTCGTCACACTCCTCCTATTGTGTCCGCTGACCAAAGGAACAGAGGGTGTTTTGAGGAGTGCGACCCCTTTTTAATGTGGTATGCTGTGGTTGCCTGCACTGTAATAAATCCTTCACGTGATTCTGCTCGTGCGTGTTTGTGGAAACAGCCAGCAGCTCGGTTCGTTTCTCTTAAACACACTAAAATACGGATCATTCGTGGATTGTAATCGGAGGAAACAGAGGGGAACGTTTGCCGTAGCTGGTATTGTTTTGTCGTAAAACTCTGTGACCTGGCTGTAACCTTTCCTCCACAGACCTGAAACAGAGGTGCCTGACAAAGATGTGCAATAAACTGTGACCGGAGAGGAACAAAGAGCCGCTCATCATCACGAACTACGGCACGCAGCACGATTACGGAGGCCAGATCTGAGTCAGATTTCTGCATCTGCACGGGTTTGGAAACTGTTTACACGCTCACGCAGCGGCGCGGCTTCACATTCATCCCCGTTATCTACTCTGTGATTTCATTTACTTTGTATCTCCAAGAAGATGAAAAATAATTTGATTAATACTGGACTCTGAAATCTGCAACCCTCAGACTAAGTGTGGACTGTTTATCCTCAGATCAAATGAAGACTGTGAGGCTGATACAGTCTGAAATCTGAAGAAGAAGCTGTAGAAACCCAGAAACAGATGTAGGGTTTGAGGTTTTATGTCTGTTAAATAAACGTCTGGTAATTGTTGTCTTTTTTTCTCATTGCTCGTTTTTGGATCTACGTTCAGCCTTAATTTGTTCAGATTAATCAAAGAGGTTTGGATCGTCTGGACAGAGGAGGGAATTATTTCAGCCTGTCGGAGTCGATCCAGATCTGACTGTTCATGAGCATAAAAATGGTGAAGATGGGACATTTTCCTCTTACTATTAGTTATCAAAAATGTATCTGATCTAATCAAGATCCTTGTGGATCGGCAGGCTTGGAGCGCGAGGCGTGATCTCAAAGAAAAACCTGGAGTGTCAGATGACAGCCACGTATCCATGAAGCCTAAAACACCCAGAACAGAGTTATTATACTTCCTCATCATTCTAGTCAGCTTCCAGAGAGGATTCAGTTTAAGTCTGATTCTTTAATTTATTTATTGAGGGTATTTGTCAGACGTCAGGTTTCAGAAGTTCAGAGTCAACATCTGCTCCACAAAAACTCAAACTGGAGACGTTTTCTCTGCATTTTATTTGATTGTAGTTCGTTTTTCAAGCACATCTTATTGTTTCAGATTTTTAAATCTTTATTTGGTTTTCCAGTTGTCTTTTTCTATAAAGATGACGTAGGTTCAGATATAACCGATTATGTGGAAAAAGTTAAACAGAATGAAATCCATCTATAGGATATCTGTAGGACTACACGTGGAGCTCAGCGGCCGTTTTTTTAGCCTAGTTTTAGTTCACTGGAGCAGCCTCGATCCAGAACTGTTTAATTTTCAGAGATATTTATGAATATCGATGAAGAATCCACCGACTGTCAAACTGTTCACTCTCAGAGAATTTCAGAGTTTTTTAGAAAACAGGAAACCAGCTGCTTTAGAGGAAAAAGAAACGATTCTCCCCCCTCTAAACAGAGTTGCTGCCGCCCCACTATCAGCCCCCTGTTATTAAACCCACGGCGGTCACGCCTCCTTCTTGCAGGTCATCATTGATCTGAACTCCAGGGGGATCAGATAAGTCCAGGTCGAACCCCAGGTCACAGAGCCAGCCCTCCTGCGGGGACAAAGACCACTCTGTGGGTCCCCCCTGTCAGGACCCCACCTGTGCTAAAGCCTGAAATACCTGCATGGAAAAAAACCCACGATAAGCTCCTGCTCAGGTATCACCTCATAGCCAATAAGAGCTGACCTGAACAGGATAAAGGTACCCCCCAGCCCCCAGCCCCAGAGAGATAAACAGGAGCTTAGAGTTTATTCTGTTAGACAACAAGCATTAAAAAGGGTTCCTGCCCACCGAGGTGCGTCTCACTCCTGAACGTGGCACCGAGTTTAATGCTCACTGAACAAACCAGAAATCCCACAAATAAGGTAAGAGTTTCTTTGCTGTTTAAATCTGTCTTTGGTTTGGTCACAGTGTGTGCATGTGTGCATACACAGTATCAAACAGCACAGCTATAAAGTAAGAACGTATGAGTGTAACAGGCAAGGATAACGTTCATGTTAAGTCTTCAAAGCGCTCAACTTATCATTGCGTAACGTTGCCTCTGATCACTGGATATGTGAGACAGCTTAAAAATCCATGGCAAAGGCAGTGCTGCAGCCCCTCTGGCCTTCAGCCTCTGACAGCTATCACAGCTAACAGAGGCTGATATTATTGAGCATTTTCACTCTGTAGTCAGAGACTAACTGATGGGTTTTTAGCTTTACACTGCACAGAATGTAAAGAGGTAATATTAAGGAAATGTTAAAGAAACTGAGAAGTTTCGTATGCTCATCATGAGCATGAATGTCATGGTGGATTGACTGTACACGGACGCTGTCCATCTGATCTGACTGAGCTGGAGCTGTTTTGCAAAGAAGAATGGGCAAAGATTTCAGTCTCTAGATGTGCACAGCTGGTAGAGACAGACCCTAAAAGACTGGCAGCTGGAACTGCAGCAAAAGCTGATTCTACAAAGTATTGACTCAGGGGGCTGAATAATTACACACACCCCACTTTGCAGTTATTTATTTGTAAAAAATGTTTGGAATCATGTCTGATTTTGGTTCCACTTCTCACGTGTGCACCACTTTGTGTTGGTCTTTCACGTGGAATTCCAATAAAATTGATTCATGTTTGTGGCAAAATGTGGAAAAGTTCAAGGGGACTGAATACTTTTGCAAGCCACTGTAACTCAGTGTTTGTCTCATTTGACCATAAAACATGCAGCTGAAAATTCACGGAGGCTTCTTTCTTGGTCAGCACGCTCTCGGTCCATGGCGATGTAAATCTCGCTTGAGCCTTGGTTAGTTCCTGAACATCCAGACTCTCATCTGAGGGTGACAGGGTTTTCTTCCAGATGTTGGCAAAGTGGTGAAACATCAAAATAAGAGAGAAACTGCCAGTCGTAGTTAATCAGGATCACACGAGAAGTTAATAGACCTTGGCATTGTAAAGTCTATTTCAATGTAAAGACATTGTAGAACCTTTAGAATCACTTATTAAAAGATTTAAGTGAGTGTACGCATTTTTCCTAATCCAAACAAAATACATTTAAACCCAGTCCTTGATTATTTTTTAATGCAGTAAAGTTATATGCTGTGCAACCTTTCCACCAAAGACATTCATGCTCATGATGAGTGTATATAAACCACAAACTATTTATTGCAATAATGAGACAGCTGACCTCCTGAGAGGCACTGATCACTTCCCTGCTCTTGGTGAAAAATGCTTGAGGCTTTAATAACGTTAATGAAACACTTCTTCACCTCATCGAGCAGACGGGAGCCACAGGTGAGCCGAACCGTTTGAAGCTGTTAGAAACATTGAAGTACTGAGCAGAGAAGGTGGAGAAGGGTCATCGTCCTTGTTTTTGTGTAGGAGTCAGCGCTGTAATGGCTGATGTCAGAGTATTTTCAGATGTTACATATTTGTTAAAACGCGTGACCTCTGTGGTGCTTTGGTCGATGATCCTCACCTTTGAGCGTTTGCAGGAATCACAGCGTCGTTGCTGCTGAGAGCAGCGGCTCAGTAAGCTTCAAACTGTGACCTCTTCTGGTTTTGCAGAGAATTACAGCAACATGCAAATCAGAATATGAAATTTACATTTACCATTTATTCAAGTCTGTTTCAGGAAGCAAGATCGGGGATAAGTGTAGTAATCTCAAATTCCCCAGAAACAAGCTGGGATGCTTACACTGACTCTGCACATGCTCAGTATGAGACCCGTATATAAAAGATGCCCACTATGAAATATCAAATTTGTTTTGTATCTTCAGTGTTGTTAAAATATTGGTATTTTGGAGGGAGAAGTGACCATATTTGCCTCAGAGTGGAGTGCTACTTTATCAGCTAATGCTAGCTAGCTTAGCTAGCAGTGTCTAGCTAGACCCACATCTGCTGGTTACCAAAGTAATAAAACAGTCTACTGGATGTAGCATACAACATTACAAGTACACCGACAGTTGAAATATGGTGGCGAAATCTGGTCCAGTGATTCAAAGTAGTGTAAGTGAGGCCTAGCACACAGCTAGCAACTGCAAGTGCCCAGTGATACCTGTCAATCAACGTGGCCACACCCCTAAACTTAAACCTTACCAGCATCCAAATAAATAGGTTGGCATAAATGTCACCCTGTACAGGTACAGGTGTTACGAAGGGTTAAACTACCCACAGAAACCGAAACTGTTTTTGAACCAGGCCGTTTATTTCTGTTCTGAACACTGGAAACACTTTTGAAGCCAGCCTCTAGTGGACATAAGAGGGACTGCAGCTTTTGGTTTTTAAATGTTGAATTTATTTAATTTAATTGGATTAAGGGAGCAGGTAGTGATCCATAAACACATGGGGAGTGATAGTGGAGCCTATTGCAGAAAAACTATAGGGGATAAATCAGGGTCAATACTATGACCTCAAATGAAAATCACGATTAATTGAACATTTTACCTCGATTTTGATTATTGATTATGATCATCAAACACACACCTTGATAGTTTACCAGGTTTGCACTGTGAATGTGATCTAAAGCTGGCACATTTGCTGCGGTGATATGACTGTAACAGATTGGTGGGATTACCTTGGGTCACTGAAACCATTTTTCACGTGATTTTCTTCTTTATGTTTGATGTTGTCTTCAGTAAAGATTAAAATTATGTCCATACAACAGAAACAGCATTTTTAACTATAATCTTCATCAAAAAGGAAAGTTCGAAGTCTATTCTTAAAAGTAGAGAGAGGGTCTGTCGCCCAAACCCACACTGGGAGCTGGTTCCACAGGTGAGGAGCATGGTAGCTTTTAGAAACGCAGGAGCGACAGGTAAGCCTGATCAGACAGGTAAGCCTGATCGGATTTGGTCTGATATGAGCTTGTGCACCCGACAGGAAGTTGAATATGAAAAAAAGCTTTCTCCATCTGAACGCAGGTACGAGTCATGTTCCTGATGTATATGTTTCTACTGTCTGCTCTTCCAAACGGTGAGTCCCTCTGTAAAACCACATTATATAGGATCCATTTACTAGTTCTACACTAATAATGGATTGCATTTATATAGCACTTTTCTAGACACTCAGAGCGCTTTACAATGCCACTATTCATTCACTCTCACATTCACACACTGGTGGAGGCTACAGTTGTAGCCACAGCTGCCCTGGGGCAGACTGACAGAAGCGAGGCTGCCATATCGCGCCATCGGCCCCTCTGGCCAACTCCAGTAGTTGGTGAAGTGTCTTGCCCAAGGACACAACGACCAAGACAGACAGAGCTGGGGATTGAACCGGCAACCTTCCGGTTACAAGATGAGCTTCCCAACCCCCTGAACCACGGTCGCCCCGATATACATACATATAGTTTTACCTGCTGACTCAAAGATTATAAGGATAATTTACCAATCATTTATTAACTACTAAAGAGTCAGAAATTCCTTCAAAGCATGAATAAATCTTTGTGTCAGATTAGTGGTTGAGCAGAAACGTTATGTCTCCTTTAGTTTATTCATCTGTGTGTGCTGATGTGGAAAGATTTAACTTTGGTGTTTTAAAGGTTACATTTATGACCTTAATTGTTTTATTTATCCTTATCCAGCGCTTCCCGCCGGCTCCATCTTCTGTCCAGACCCGGAGGCATATCACATGACTGGTGAGAACAGAAGCAAACATTATGTAATAAAATGAACGGATAGATGGATAAAAATAGACAAAAACAGGACTGGAGGCAGAATGTGTATGAGAGGGGGTCAGAGGGCATTACAAACTCTTATTGCTGTGGGGATGAAGGAGCTCCCGAAGCACTCAGATCTACAGTACAGTGAGAGGAGCCATCTGCTGCTCCTGTGCCCACCCAGGAGGCCACGGAGAGAGGGTCTACTTTAGTCCATCGCCCCCCTCTGCCACAGTTTTAAGTGAGTCCAGCCTCCTGCTGAGCACCAGGCTGGCGTTAGGCTGTTTGTGGTCATTTGTGTCATGCATTTCTTTATAAAATAGACATTGATGGTGACATGTCTGCTTTATGATCAGTCTCGTCCTCACATGTGGACCCCTGTGCTGCATCTTTAAATGAAGTATGGACTCAGGACTTTGTTTTTTCCAGCTGAGTTTTGCTGAGTCTTCGGTGTTACAACATGAGACTTAATTGTAGTGATAAAGGTACGGACTTGAAGCTGCGTTGTGTAAATTTCCTAAACCTTCATGGATCTACAGCAGCACCAGTGTTCTCAACTTGGATAGCTCAAACAACAGTCGTAGACTTTCTGTGGCGTTGTGGGCCGTTGTTGACATCGAGGTCGAGAGGCTTTGATGTTCATTGCCTCCTATGGTCTTAATCTTCACTGTACCTGCATGTGGAGACCTGCAGTCCAAAGAATCTTCCACCCTGTGTGCTTCTCTGGACTCGAGTTACCTGCAAACAGGATTATCTATGATTAAATCGCTCTGCTCTCCACCTCAAAGTTTACAGAAGCTCTGCAGGTTCGATCTTCTCGCAGCCTCGGCGCGTTTGTTCATTCACCTTCTGTCGTCTCTTCCTGCAGATTGTCTCGGGTTGCGCTTCACCTGGATACACTCGGTCTTCGATAACTTCCCCTCCATGCTGAGCTTTGTGTCGAAGCTGCACTGTGCGACGGGGATTTGCCCACGTGACCTGGAAGATTATGGCTGCTCCTGCAGATATGTGGCAGCTGGAAACCCCGTGGATGCTCTGGACGTGTAAGTAAGCCTCAGATCGCAGCGGGACTGCGGTTACAGCAGCTGCTGAATTTAAAATACGGCAAAATTGAATTCAGAGGCTGGAGGCAGGCAGGTGTGAAGCGGGCTGGGAGAGTCTTCGCTGACCAGTCCTCCCATTCCCATGGAAAATATTATTCATTATGCTGGAATCCCTCACAGGAGTTACAGTACAGGAAATGTCAAAATCAAGAGACAATAGCTTTAGGGTGGACTGGAATAATAAATGAAACCATGTACTTACTGTAGTACATCTCTCAGGCTGAACACCTTAAAGGTCTGTCAAAGTCATCAAGAAGAGGAAAAAGCAACTCAGGGATGGTTGAAAATTTTTTGAGAGACTTTCCACTGTTTTCAACTGTTAAAGCTAACCTTTAGCTAACCTTTAGCAGTAGAAAGGTTAACTTTAGCTAAAGCTTTAGCTAAAGCTAACCTTTAGCAGTAGAAAGGTTAGCTTTAGCTAAAACTAACCTAGAAATCTTCAGCAAGTCAAAAACTGCAGGCTAAACTAAACACTCAGTTTTAGACACTTTTTTTCTAACCTGGATCTGTATGATGCTATATGATGATACAGAAGCCACACCCACTTGCTGGGGCAGCCAATCAGAAGAAACGTCACTGAAAAGGAAGGGTTGGACTAAAGGAGGAGGGGCTTGTTTCTGACAGAGCATTAGTCGAGTCGCTGTAGTAAGGCCCAGGGTAAATAAATAAGGATGATTATAAACTGTGAATCATGCAAAGCTGCCCTCACATAGTAAAGGAATAAAAATATGGAGATAGAAATGCGTATATTGTGTCCCATTTAGGGATGACAAAGCACTTTATTATTGTAGCTCCGCCCCTGCAACAGGGAAGGGGAGGAGCTACCAGTCAGGGAAAGGTGGATATGTTATCTACATAATAAAGTTCTGTACAAAATACTAAATTTGGTCAAAATAGCTGTGAGCTCAGAGCTGAATTAATAATTAATAAATATTATGACTTCTTTTTCTTTTTAATGTTACATTTACAGCTGAAGTCACTTTTTTTATTCATGGGTTACAAAATTAGCTCCTTCATCTCTGTGAAGCTAATCACTGTACTTGATAAAGAACATGTAGCCTCTGTTTCTGTGCCATATCGTAGAAAACATGTTTATATGAAAATAATTATGACTATTTCTCAGATAAAAAAAAAAAAGGCAAAGACTTTTGTTTTAATCCCAGACTCAATTGCTTTGATGTACTTTTATAATAAGCCACTATATTCCTCTACGTATCTGCAAACACCAGCTGTAAGTGTGTATATGTGAAGAGCTTTTACTGTGAAAGGCACGTGCAGGAAGCACCCCTGCACTGAGCAGGTGGTGTTTCGCGTATCGATCGGACTCTCGTCATGTTATTCATCATTTCTTCTTTTTCCCGGTTTCCGTCTACAGGTGCTGCGAGGCTCACCGGCTGTGTTACCAGAACGCTGCCCCCTGCAGGCAGGAGCTGCCGCTTGCCCCGTACAACTTCAGCTGTGCGGCAGCTGCAAACACCAGCTGTGGTGAGACTTAGTTTATTTTGGGAAATGTGCTTGTTTGCTTTCACACTGGGAACCATCACAAGACTTTCGCTGCCAACAAAAAACAAGTTTTACTCACAGTGGAACCAAAGTTGATCGTTTTCACACGAGGAGTTTGTACAAAGTGAAAAGAAGCGATACAAAAGTGACTCCGACAGAGTAACACAGCAGAGTAAATAAAGCCTGTGGCACTAGTACAGTGTACCAATGTGGCTCTTTCTGTCTTGAAGATGCTGCTGATTTGTGCCAGCAGAGGTTCTGTGAATGTGACCGGGCCGCCATGGACTGCATGACTCAGAGCCCGTACAACTCATCGCTGAGAGGCCTCGCCGACACGTCCTGCTCAGCTACAAATCAAACAGGTGAGACGAAGCGAAGTCGTCTCCAGAGCCAACATCTGGCTACGGTCTTTGGTTCCTTTGGATGTTTAGTCACTTCACTCATGTTTTATAAGGAACATATATATTCAGCTTCCTTCAGTGTTCCTGAAACCACTGCGTCTTTCTGTACATCTGCATTACAAGCAAGAAAATAAATCTGGCTCTCTTTAATGGCACCAGTTTGGCAAAATGGGACCAAATCCATGACTCGTGCTGTGGAGGACGAGGAGGAGAGTGAATCAAAATCACAGATCAATACAGGTAATATAAAAATAACTCCAAAGACATAAATCGTGTGCAAACGGGTCTTCAGTGCAATAAAATACTGAACACACTGTGGGTGAAGCCTCAGTTTGAGTCTGTAAAAGGAGAGAAAAGAAGAATCGATGTCCTGCAAACTCACTGTGGAAACAGTTTGAGCCACTTAAAGTAAATCGAGGTACCGCAGACAGTTTTCAGTCACCAGGCGAGCAAAGAGAAACATGGATGCATCCAATTAAGTCTGGTGTTCTTTTAGGAGCAGCTCCTCTGCACACCCACACAGTTAGACTCAGACTCACAATCCGGCTGTTTGACTCGTTTCCAGCGGAGTTATTTTTACATTTAAAACCTGGTTTAGGTTTGTGTTTAACACTTTTCCTTGGACGTAACCTCAGACCTTTTTTATTATTATTATTTCAAATTTCAGACAGTTCTTTAACATGCATCAAACTTCCAGACTTGGTTTAAAATCGGCTCGATCTGAATCCTAAAACTGCTGTCGGAGATGGTCGTAACACGACAGCAGTGAAGCCGGGCTCTGTGCTTCAGTGCGCCTTCACATAAATCCTGATATGAAATGGTGAAGCCTGACTGTAAAAACAACAACTGTTGCAAGTAAAAAGAACAGTAAAATAAATATTTTAATTCTGAGTGTGCTGCTGTTTATTTGGTGCAGGTTTGCCCACAGCGGTCATGTCAGTGGGGGGATCTGTGAGTGTCACATTCCCGTGGCAGCGTGCTCGGTGTTGCTAAGATTTGAAGTTTATTTTTTCTCTGTAGAAAGAAGTTTTCTTCCCACACAGTGAACAGCGGATACTAATGTTTTTGTCACTTTTACAGAATCAAACTCAAAGTAATGTGATTACTTCCACGCTTTAAAGGCTGCACGGTCGCACTCTCTCCTGCACTCCATGTTATCCATTGTTGATCTGCACACAGCTGTTACCGCGGTCGTCGCACGCGCTTACATCATCGTCATGAGACACTCTCACAAACAAAATCACAGCTTAGTAACATAGTAACACAGCGTGCTTACAGGAAAGTAACAGTAATCGAATTACTTTTTTTGCAATAGTAATCCCTTACAGTAACGTGTTACTATCTCTGTGACATTCACATAGGCCTTCTTGCTTTTTCTGTTTCTGATCTTTGATAAAATTAAAGGTAAGATTGTTGTTTTTTTTTATCTTGTTTACAAACTTGTTTCATTCTGGTTTCACTGGTTTTATTTGCTAAGACGTGGTTATGTGCTGGGTTTCAGCTGGTTACTTTGTTTTCAGAAACATCCAGGCTTAGTGTGGCACAGGTTCCTTTAGACTGATTTCTTCGTTTCCGACAGATTTTTAATTTGGTCTCAGAACATTTTGGAGAACTTTTCCACTCCGTCTGTGGATCTTTGGTCTCAGTGTTTCTGTCTCTTGACGTAAAGCCGGATGAATCGTTGATGCTGTGAGGAGAAAAACTTCTGCTCTCTTTGAAGATCTTTCTTCATGACTCTTGCTGTACGTTCGGCCTCGCTGTGCTTCTGAGCGAGGCTGATTTAATAAATTTTAGCAGTGAGCTCATTAGTCCTGCCTTTCTCCGGTGTGTCTGACAGAGCTCGCAGCTAACAGCAGTCTGAGTTTCTCATTAGTTTGACCGTGTGTTTCAGAGCTGCTCGGCGGCATCGAGGACACAGGTGAAGTCTTCAGAGCAGCAGGTAAGTCTGTGTGAAACTCCGGGGGCGCCACGATCAGCGTTCCTGAGACGGCGCGTCACTTTCTGAGCGGGTCGGCGATGTCGCATCACAGGAAACGATTGATTGGGCAGAAACGCAGACGGCTGAGTCACACCTCAGCCAATTAAAACAAGGACCTCTGGATGTTTAAGCTGCAGCTTCCTGCCCACATCCAGCTAAAAGAGAAAGAAACCATTGATTGTTCAGACCTCCTTTCATCCATGTGTCCAGATAGAGATGTCACGTCGAGCCGAGCTGCTCGCCGCCTCGGAATCAGGAGAATCTGAAGTGAAGGATGTTATTAAAGGGAGGGAGGTTTTTTTAAATCTGAGGACGGCCTGTCACACACGTCAACCTGAGATCTGTCTGAAACTGAACCCACTCTGTTTAAACTCGAGATCAGCTCGAATTCACTTTATCTGTTACTTTGATGTCAGGAGCAGATTGAACTGAACAGGATCAGGAGCACGTCGAGGTCCATACGTTACACATATCTGTAAAGCAGTGCTTACATCCTTGGACTAAGTTTCTGATCACAAAGGACATAAAAGAGAGAATATTGGGCTCACGTTGATCCTGCCGACACAAATCCAAACTGAGATATGAAGCATCACGTTAGCGCATTAATGTGTTTCCTTCTCTCTGCTTTGTTCGAGTGTATATTTGTGTGGAGAGGCTGAACTTCTCCTGTGTCTCTGCAGATGTTCTCCCAGCAGAAAACACCTCAGAAAGCTTTAATTTCTCCAGCTCGTCCTTCTTGCCAGCAGGTAAAACTCCTGTTTTTATGCTTCGCTTTACTTTCTACAACTCTGCACGTCTCCAGAGCAGAACAAAGTGAAATTTCAGGTTTTGGAGAGTTTTAAGATGCTTCCAGCCTTGAACTCGGAGTGCTCATAAAATGGACCTCCCTCCACTTCCTTTAAGAATTAATGGAGTGGAAACAGATTTCCTTTTCTGATAAAAACAGATTTAACAATGTAGTCTGATGGTAGCTTTTACTCACTGCCATTTAAAGGTCAGACGTCTACAATCAGAAGCTCCTAATGAAGCTTGTTTTGGTCTTTAACCAAGAGGAAAACAACAATTTTGATCATGAAATCAGATCATGATCTGATGTGTGAGAACTAATCGCCTAAAAATAGCACGAACACGGTTACGAGGTTCAGTTTAGTCGCTCCGGTTAGTAAAGCGTGAAGCTTAGCAGGCAGCTACATGCACCCATCAGTCTGTCGTTCTAAGACAGACACAGAAAACATTAAGCCTTAATATTCTATTTCAGTGATGGCGCCAGCCTTCGTTGCCTTTTGGTGTCCACACTTTTAAAGCCTCAGTGTGAACATTTCATTCAGTAAATAAAGAAAAATGAGACTCACACATTAAATAAAGCCAGAAAACATCTACCTGCATCCCAGACAGATGAATGAACTGTGACTGTCTCCTCAGCAGGGATGGACCCACCAACAACAGGCAGGGTGGATAACCAGAGTGACACCGAGGCCATGGAGTACAACCTCAGCACTCCAGCGCCGCTGATGCCTGCTGGTATGACCTCTAATTGGCCCTCAGGCCACAGGTTTAACTCGGCACCATCTGCATGTTATCCTAATATTTCTCATTTTTCCAGAGGAGCTTGAGGAAGGCGCAGGAGGTGCAGCAGAGGTGGAAGAGGCAGAGATGACACACCTGAGTTATATCTCTAAAGGTAACGGTTACCTCGGTTACCTCACCGTCTCCCCTCCATCCTCTCTCTAGTACTTTTCTAGCAGATTACATTTGCTAGATGCTGACCGGCGGACAGCTTCCAAAACAGCAGAAATAATTTCCCCGCTGTTCGACTCCTGCTGCTCGATGACTCACTTGGCTCAGACGTTTCCTGCTTTTACAGATCTGAATGAGAGCGCCGCAGAGGAAGCACTCGAGCAGGAAGAGATAAATGGGGATCAGATGACCCACAATCCTCCAGCAATCAGCCGGGGTGAGCCAGAAACACTCGGCGTCTCGATCACGACTGATAAATACAAACGTCCACCTCGGGCTTAATATAAAGCAGCTCTTTTTATTTCAATGACACGGTGTGCTTTATATGATCCCATAACTGAGCAGTGATTCATCCGGCGTCTAATTCATAAAAGATTTTCTAAATGAGGAACATGTCCTCGTCTGTGGACAGAAGAAAAAAGAAAGGAAACTTTCTCGGGTGCAAGTTGGAGCCAGAAAAACCTTTGTTAAACTGGCTTTTTATGTGCAGAAATATTATTAATCATAATCTCTCTTTTTTGTGGTACTCCAAAGTGAAACTTGCAACTTCATCCAGTCAAACTTTAAATGGATATTAGTGTCTCTGACTTTGTTTGTGTGCAACAAAACTAAAGTATTTATGCAAGGTGCAGTTACAATACAGATCACTAATAATCATAAAAGCATAACTGATTAAAAGTGGCTGATTTCCCCCCTCAAGGTCACCTCCTTCCACACCTGTGGGCAGCTTCCAGCCCCACAGCCCACAGGGAGCTCTGAAACCTGATTAAACACCAGAGTCTTATTTTTCACAAGTGTGTTTGTTCCAACTGGGTCTGTGATGAAGTTACCCCACAAGCAAGTTTAAAAAGAAGTTTTTAGCTGCTTTTAAAAGAGACCACTGATTTCAAGAAAAGCCTGTGGACTGATGCAAACCCTCCTCCTGTTTTAGTTCCCAGCCTCATACGCTGTACAGCCAGTAGGCCCTGATCACATGACCTCAGGGACCTGCCGGCGTACTGTACGCTGGTGATAAATGTCGAAATCAGAATCTTAAAGTGGACTCTTAATCTTAATTTTTGACTCACCTTTCAAACAAAAAGTAACTTTAATGTTCCTTTTTCAGGAAATTAAGATTCCTAAAAGAAGATTCAGCAAATGTAGCAAGAAGACACTGTTTCTGTTTTCTCTTCACAAGTGGGGGAAAATGACTGAACCCTCTATTTTAATAGCGTCTCAGCAAGATCTGCAGGTTAGAAACCTCTTGGGGTTTAAAAGAAACAGAGCTGAACCTCATCTGCAGAGCAGTGACAAGAAATGTTCTTAAAAGTGTCAAAATGTGCAGAAGAGGGAGCAGAAACAACAGGATAGAAACTGCAAAGGCACCAAAACGGAACCTTGTGGCACACCGAAGGCAAGAGAAGTGAGACAGGACTTCAAAAATACAGACAGAGTATCTGTGATGTGATGACGTTATAATTTTATCTCTTGCAGATTCAGGTTTGCGCTTTCATGGCGAAGAGACGCCAACTGAAGCAGAATCCGAGCTGACTTCTTCACTGAGCTCCGCCACTGAAAACGCACAGGTGAATCAAACGGGAGCATCAGCGCCGCTCGGTCACATTTTACCATCGACTCCTCCCACTCCTCCTACAACTCCCAGAGAGCTGACATCAGCAGCCGTGGAAGAATCAGCCGAGACAGGTGATGAAGAAATACTTATCCTTTTATGATGTGTTGATTTTTTTTTAATCTCAAATTATAGATGATGCAAAAAGAATTAAAAGGACAGGGGTGTGGTCAAAGCAGGGGCTTAAGGTGGCACCGCCCTCACCCCCAGAGAGTTGAAGATTAGATTGTCCATATGAGAAAGTTACAATGAAGCCAAACCAAAGATTGTTCCAAACATTTGTATCTTTAATTATTTCAAGAGCTTTAGTTGTTTGTCCATGACACTGCCCTCTGGTGGCGGTACACATGTACAACAGTCTGCAGAGCTCTCGTAGGCCCGGTGCACAGCCATGATGACCCCTCAAAACATGTTTATGGAGACAGGAGATTCATTCACAATGGAAAAAATCAGCACAGCATGATGAATTTTTAACCAGCTGTCAAGTAGTTTGGTTTATTTATGTAGTTTTATTTTTCTGAATTCCTGTGACTCTGGATTGTTTGGGTATTTTTCTTTGTAGTTACTGGCTGGATTGAGATTGTTGTATTTTGCCCTTGTCTGAGCTTGTGTGAGACTCTGTCTTAGCACCAGAAGTCAAATAAAGCACTGAAATGAAGCTCTTTTGCCTCCTTATTAACAGGTTTAATCTTAGCCCCAACAACAACCACCACGAGTCCCTCTGAGTCATCTGAGGAGGAAGGAAATGGGAAAGAGGAGGAGGACAATGAAGAGGAGCAAGAGTCTGGTGAGCACTGTGAGTTCATACTGTATGACGGGAACTAAAGAATAAATCAGGCCTTTGTGAGTCCCAAAAGACTTCAGTTGGACTCATTGGGAAGTTTGAATATTCATGTTTCTTTTCTTCATCCTCAGTCTTTGATGTGCTCAAAACTACAACAATGACAACAGCAACAACACCATCAGCCCCAAGGAAAACTCCTCACACAGGTCAGTTTGTCACAGGGGGACAGAAATATCAGCTTTATAAAGTGCCACTGCCAACAATTATCAGACTACGAGACAGACAGTCATCTAGGAGCAGCATTTGGCTGCAGTGGGGAGAAAGAGCTTCCTTTTAACAGGAAGTGGTACCTGTACAGCCCTCTGTGCAGTTAGGAGGAATTCAACTGTTTAAACCAAAACTGTTTACTGTATCAAGCTGTGAACATCTTTATTTCTTATTGTGAACATGCAGACTGACTCACTGTTGGAGCCTCGAGTGGCCACTAGAGGAACTGCAGTTTTTGACATTTGCTTCATTTTTAGCTGCTTCGTTCTAAACTGCATATTTTTCCTTTGAGCTATTCTGCAGCTTCCCTTATGAAGTTATATCAACTGTTATATCAACATGCACGGTCTATAAAAATGGTACGTACAATTTTGTCATAATATTAAACTTTGGCCCTCTCGCTATAAGGATGGCCAGGAAGGATATTCTGTCCTGTGTACTGCGACGTATAACAGGATGGAGTAGTACCCCCTGGTATTTGACAAACTATGACATATTTATGCTGTAAAATGAAGCCTAAGCAAAAAAAACAAAAGCTGCAGTTCCTCTAATGTCCACTTGAGGCAGGCTCCAAAATTGTGTCAGTCGCTGTAGACTGACATATACAGCAGAAATAAACATATTAACATGCTGCTGCAGAAATGGTTTTGGTCTCTATGAATGGTTTAAACCATTGCACATGTACAGGGAAGGTGAAAGTTTACAGTTTATGCTTATCAATCGAGCTAGTTAGCTTTAGCTGTTGACATTAGCAACCACCATCATATTCAATTATGGTGACTTGTTATGAAAATCTGCAGTTTTTCAGAATGCTAACAGTGAGGCCAGAGTCCAGAAATCAGTAAGCCATGTCACAGTGGCTGCTTCCATCTTTTAAATACAGTTTGTCTTTTCATGTAATAAAATGAGTCTGTGCGACTCCTTTGTGGGTTTTTAAGTTGTACAACACAGAGGAGTAAGGTGTGACTCTAATCGACGCAGGCACTTCACCGGGAGTCTTTGTCCTTCAAATAAAAGAGACGTGATTCGGATTTAGACTCTTTCCTCACCGCTGCTTCACAAACACACCGAGAGCTGCCAAATGGTTTGATCGAGTGTCACAACCCCGCTGCCGGGTAAAAAACATGTAACTATTGAAGTGGTTATTTTCCTCTCCTCGCGTCTGCAATTACGCAGCGAGGCTTTGACAGGTGTCTGAGGGGCCTCGCTCGCTCAGAAATCACCGGGTATATTTTTAATTTCAAGAAGAAAAAGAAAAAAAGACCAATTCCAGCTCTTTTCTTTAATGCCGGCGTTAATCAAGTGGATTGCATTAACGTCTCACTTCTGACAGCCTTTGTGTTGTGCGCTCTTCAGAAGGTGGAGGAGGTGTCAGCTTCACATTAACACCAGCACCACCTCCAGCTTCACAGGAGAGAGGGGAGGGAGGTGTCAGAGAGGAGACGAGCTCTCCGAGGCCCGCTGAAGGTCAGCTTGTTTTTCTTTAGCAACAAGCAGGCATTTCATTACAGAAACTTTCGGAGGAGGAAAAATCTGACCTTAATGTACAGCGAAACATTCAAGGATGTTTGCTCTTTGGCTTTCTAGCAGAGGGCTGGATGAGATGACCGATATCAGGCAGCTGCAGATAGGAAAGGGCTACGTGCTCTACAGAGCTACCGATTTTCTCAGTTTGGCTGTTTCCACATTTCTAGTCCTCATTCCTGGTGAAACTTCCCCAGTTTCCAGCAATTTTTCTCAAACATCAGCCTCCTACTAACAAACATGTACGTTCTTTACAATTTCAGGAGAACTAGTGAGATGGGAAACAGCCAGTGTGGTTTAGTCGAGGTGCAATTTGTGGGGAAAAGAATCAGCGTGGAGGGTTTTCATGTTGAAGCCTGGTGTCTTATTACTGCTGCCACTGTAACATTTACAGAATAATTCAATTTCAACCTGACAAAGTAAATGTAAAGGCGCTTTTTGGGTATTTTAAAAACTACAAGCGAACAGAATATAAAAAAAACCCCAAACAGCAGGACTTTATGTCCAAAACGTTTGTGTCCTTCGTTAAAGAGATGTCAGCTGAAGCTGAACTAAAGCTGGGCTGTACATTAGTGTAATACCAGTGTGAACCACAAGATGGTGCAAAGTGTCTGGTGAAGACAGAGGCAGGGATCAAAACATTAGTGCACGCACAAAAACACATCTAATCATCTTTAAAACGCTGCCCTCTGGTGGTGAAAGGTTTACCTTCAACAGAAGATCATTAAAATAAGCGACACTGATGATTGCATTTGCAAAAATATTTAAGTTTTGGCACAAAAGTTTGTCCTTTGCTCGTGCAGACAAACATAAACGATGTTATTTTAACATGCCAGAAGTGCTCGGTCCAACCGCAGGTGCAGTTGAACTTTAATATCAGAGACAAATATTCACAATGTAACAACACAGCAAGCTGTCAGCATACACATCAGTGTATATCACAGCGAGCAGTGCGAGCTCCCTGCAGCTTCCCAAAAAATCCTCCTTTTATTAGACTGAAAGTGAACACAGCAATTATTGAGACGGCAGCAGAGGCCAGCTGACCCCGTCACCAGCATATTCACCCACAGCCTTTAAAGCGACTCAGTGAAGGAAAAAAAGCTCCTGCTCCCCCCACAGTGTACTCTTTGTTGTTCAGCTATTTTCTCCCCTGAATCTTTTTCCACAGAGTCAGAAAGTGCAAAGCTGCATCACCTACTGAGCGACAGACTTTCTGGGTTTTAATGTGTATAAAACTGTCATCTAGTTTAATATTGTAAGGTACAGACCTGAAAATATCATGGAAATAAACCTGATAACTCAACAATGAGCAGCACTTGGTGACAAAAATAAAAAAGTCTGTGGCAGAACGAGGCACAGATCAGATCACTGAGTACATAAAAGCTGTAATTACTAAAATTATTCACCGTTTTGTCAACTTTGCTCCAAAACAAAGTTCAAAATCAGTGTTTCCTGCATGTTTCACAACATTACGGCTTCATTAATCACGCTGCTTCATGTTACAGGCTGAATAACCAAAAACAAAGTCAAAGCTACATTTTTACTACGATAACAAACAGACCTTCGTGCACACGTGTCAGCACCACAGCGTGGTTGGTTTCTTATTTCAGCTGCTGTCCAGGTGATCTCTCTCCTCAGTAAGAGAACAAAGCATTACAGTAAGCCGGTGGGTGATGATGGGAAATAAAAAAAACATTCTGAGCATCCTCGTGGTCGCTCTGCTCACCTGACCGGCTCAGTCGCAGAATTTCATGTGAAGGCTCAGACATCAGCCTCTGCTGGAGTTTGAAGCAGGAGTCGATGTTCCCTCTCTCAGTTTATTGTAAGTGGTCAGGAGGGCTGATTAGGGAGGGACTCCTCACTCTGACCTGCTTCCCAGGCCCACAGATCACAACCAGAGTCACAACACAGGCCTCAACCAGCAGCTCGCTCCCACAAACCAAACCAGCGAGAACCACCACCCCTCCTGATGACTCATCAGAGGAAGATGCCACACCTCCTCCTCCTCCTGCTGCTGCTTTCAGTCTTCAGAGTCAAGGTGAGAAAGGCCCAGCTCGCCCCGCCCCGATGGGGATGAATTAGCATTTAAGCCGACCTGTGGGTGTGAGAATTTAATGACATGTTTGCACCGTCTTTGAAATTTGCATCCGTGTCATGAAATGTCAGGATCACTTCAATCTGCAGGAGTCTGCTTGAGCCGGCTCATCAGAGATGGGTGAGGAATATTTAAATGAAGCGAGGGGAGCCACAAAGCCTCCGGGGTGATCTTCACAGCACGTTTTCTCACATTTCTTTTTGTTCTGTTGCATTTCAACACAAAAATAGTTTTTGTTTGTTTTTAGATTTACAGTTTTGAAAGTTGTGCTTTCATCCCAGAACAGCGGGCGGTCCACTGAAGGAGACTTCCAAGTTTCCCATTAAAGACAGATTCTGTGGTGGATTCAGACTGACAGCTTCCAGTTTAGCTAGAAGTGTTTAACTTTATCCATCAGGGTAATTGCCAGTCAAAGTTTAGACTTATTTATTCTAAAGTAAGCCCTCACCTTTAACCTCTTAGGCTCATTTACTGGACTCTACATTTTCTGTTTCTTTAAAAAAAAACACAAAAAAAAAAACAACCCTTTGCGTTACATTACAAACTGTGACACCATGGGTGCAGTGGGTAGCTGGATTGCTGACTTTACAGGAGGGATCTAAGGCTTGTTTGAGTAATTCAGATTCCTACCGCCACCCACTAAAGGAGATGGACTTCAGTTTGTGTGGCTTTAAACATTTATAGTTTTATTTATACAATCTGATATACGAGATCAGAAAGTGAAAAACCTCAGCTGTCTGTGTTCTGTTTACCATCTTCTCAGTGAGACCAGGCCAATGCAAGTTTCACTGTACGCCATTAAATCATTTTCCAGGGTAAAACTGATGACCTGAACTGGTGACTGGTGCCAACTTTGTCCTCCTCCCCCAAATAAAAAAACAATAGAAGGATTTTCGATTCAATTCAATGTTATTTATATAGCGCCAAATCACAACAACAGTCACCCCAAGGCAAGCACTTTGGCGACAGTGGGAAGGAAAAACTCCCTTTTAACAGGAAGAAACCTCGGACAGAACCAGGGTCAGGGAGGGGCGGGGCCATCTGCTGCAGGTGAGAGAAGGATGAGTTTTTTAACAGACTGGAGTAGTTTCAGCATTTTCAAAGAGGTACGAGTAAAAAGAATCTAACGGGACGTCTGTGGAGAGATCTAAAGACAGCCACCACAGACCAGAGGTGCACGAGGAGATGACCCTGAATGTGAGATCGACCAAATCAGGCCTGGTAGCAGAGTGGAATTATGGGAATGTGAGAGTAGTTTCCTGTACAGCAGCAGCAGCATTACATGTGCATGCAGAGGCACTGTGTGGAGCTGAAACCTGTGACTGTCCGAATGCGAGGGCAGACTTTTAATCACGTTCTCCTCAAAGTCTCAGTGAGTCAACCTGCACGATGGGATTCCTGCAGAAAGCTCACAGCTACCATTCTGTCGTTTCAGGTGAAACGCTCCCAACATCTGCATCAACCACATCTTCATCAGCGGCTACAGTGAGAACCATCGCAGAGACGACACAGAGGAGACCGGCCACCTCCGTCACACCGCGGTGGGAGGTCCACACCCGAAGCACAACAGCAGCGGTTTTAAAACCTCCGCCACACTCCACCGCCGAGGCTGGATCCGAGGAAAAGACCGGAACAATGACGGTCAAACCTCCGAGTGTGGAAGGAGGAGAGGAGGACGACTTGCGGGAGAAAGACTCGGACGGTAACGTCTGACCAGATGCTGGTTAAACTTCATAAAATGCAACATTTTCCCCATCAGGAGGCCTTCTGCCTTTCTCCTGTCTGACCTCTTCGTTCTTCTCTGACTCGACAGGTTAAATGAAAATTCAGATGAAATGAATAAATTAAGCATTTTTCTCTCAGGGGTTCAATAAAGTTAATTATGTTTCAAAGGGTTATGGAAGTTAAATTAAGTAATCTGTGACCTGTAATGACAGCCAGGCTCATAACTGACAGGAACAATAAACGTTATTTTAATAATATCGAGGTCTAAGCTGCGAAATAGGAAGAGAAAGATCCCCAAAGGAGCAAACACACGAACACACAGCAAACGTCTAAGTGCTGATGGGGTTGAGAATGAGGCTTTTTTAGATTACACTTGCTGAAACACTGGTTTCTTAAGCTCAGAGGTATAAAACAGGAAAAACATTGTTTTTAACTCTGTGGAAAAGACATGTTAACAGACTGCTGTGCAGAAGCTGTTCAATAAATGTAGAAGAATAGTCACAATAAAAAGGAAAATTAAAACTGAAACTCCCAACTTTGAATCTAATATTTGAAATTTTAAGTACAAAAATGCAGAAATGGGCAGCGTTTTACAAGCAGGTGTGTCGTTACTCTGCTGATATTTCTTATTAGCGCTATATGCTCATTTCCTTTTACCAGGACGCCATCAAAGAAGAGTGTTTGTAAATGACTGCAGGGTTAAACAGTATAAAATATGGACGTAGCTCCAGGTCAGAAAAATTAAGCCGAGGCAAAAGTACCTTAAACCTGCATCTATGTGGAGGCCACCAGATGGCGACGGTGTAGCTGCACGTCACTCATTCTGGGTCATGTTTTTGCAAATAAATTTAGTAAATCTCGGTTGCATTAAAAAAAAAAAAAAAATAAATGGAGGATTAGCTGTAGTGTCAAACTGCATTTTCATTGGCACAAGTCATTAGCCAATGAGCATTCGGTTCAACTGGCAGACCCGCTGCTCCTCAACAAGATGGTGCGAACGCTTATCTTGAGTCTCCGAAACAATCGGGTGATGTTACCATAGCTACGTCCCTGTTTTATAGTGTCAGTGGGACGCGTGGACTCACTGCGCCATCTTATGGTAAAAACTGGTATTGCACAAATGTACAGCTCCGTTCTAGCTCAGCTTGAGTTGCTCACTCTTCAAACAGCAGATATTTTCATCAGATGACAGTTTGGTGGAGCCGTCTCAAGCCAATTTCCTCCAGAACCTTTAGTGCCAGGTCCTGCAGCCCTGTAAATGTGGCTTTTTAAAAAAATCACATCAGTGGATCCATGCCAGGCGATGGGAACACCTTTTTATACTGTGAAGTCTTTAATTCTTGCAGATGTCTTTAAGGCCCTCCAAACAAGATGATTAGGAGTGTAGTAGCACCTAGAGACGATTGAGTATCAATAAAGTTTAGTGATTTGTAAACTGGCAAAATTACAACAAAGTAGATGAACGATTGAGGATCCTGCTGGCTGACATGTGAGGGGATGGTAACGCATTGGGTGGAGCTTCATCCATTACGGACCAACCATTAGCTACAACGCTTTAAATGTGGAACAGTGCTCCTCACCTGATCATCAAACCGGGAGTTGCGGTTGAAATTTATTTCTGTATTTTTTCACTGCACTTAAGTTCCACAGATCCATGTAAATGTCAACCATCTTTGACTCTGTATTCGTGCAGTGCTTCTTCATCCTCTTCTGAAGCTCGCGGCCGCTGCTTGGAGGTCACGCTTCTTTAAATGTACCGTTTCTCTGTTGGCAGACTGGTTCGCTCCTCAGAGGAGGGCGGTGCCGTTCTTCGCCTGGTCCCTGCTGGAGTCTGTTGGGCTGACTGACATCGACCTGCAGCCAGACACCAAAGGTAACCACGGATAGCTGCACTTCCAAAGTCTGAGTGGAGCTCTTCACTGATGGGTGAGCTGAGATCTTTGCATCCTCCCAGCAGAATGCAGTCGCTCCTTCAGCGTGTACGCCAGCGACGGTCAGTCCAGGCGGGAGATGCCGGCGCTGGGGGAGATGCTCCACTGCCTGACGGGACGCTGCCCACACGAGTACGAGATGTACGGCTGCTACTGTGGACAGGAGGGCGGCGGTCAGCCTCTGGATCAGCTGGACAGGTGAGCTGTGTCGAGGAATAAGGATCGGGACTGTCCATGAAGACGCCCACAGCTGCGTCAGGGTTACCAGATTCTCCAAAACAGCGCGATAGTTATCAGCGCACAAATACATCTGCTGCTTTTCACATCCTTCATACTTTCATGGTGTTATGGTCCAAAGTTTAAGTGTGTGAGTGCTGCAGAGACCCTGATGACTGACTCCTGCTGGTCTCCATCAGGTGCTGCTTCTTCCATCATTGCTGCCTGAAGCAGATCAGCTCGATGGGCTGCAGGCCGGAGAGGAAGCTCAACGCTCAGATCTCCTGTGAGAACGCAAAACCACGATGTGAGTACGGCAAATCCCTCGAAACCCAAGTCTGCTGCACTGCTGACATCAGATCAGTTTCACACCTGATTCTCATATTAATGTAAACATTTAACCTGCAGCTGCCACAGAGGAAGAAAAAACACAGTTCACCTAAATCTCGTGAGAAATGATTTCCACTGTAGGGAGGTTCTCTGGTCTTCCTGCAGATGCATGTTTTCTGAAAAGCTCGTGTTTTTTGTTTATGAAACGTTATACTGAGCTTCTGCTTCTGTTGGTGTATCCAACATTTAGCTATAATTAATTTCTTTGCTAGCAGATAAGACGGGTATTACCAAATCCCTGGAGAGCCATGAGTTATTTTCCCCTCCAGTATAAATTAGAGCTGATGGGACCTGATGATGTGTGTAGTCAGCTCGGCTTGTCTGGCATCTTGAGCGTTGTTACCAAACGTGAAGGGAGGAGCGAGGTGGTAGCTCTCCTTGCTTCCAGGGTAATGGTCAGCTGTCATAAGGCTGCTGTGCCTCCAGGTACAGCAGCCTTACGACAGCCTGGATTTGCAGTATGATGTTGTTGTTTTTTAAAAAAGCTCATCATCATATTTGACTTCCTAGACCTCTAAAGCGCTTGTTGGCCTCTCCATCTGATCCCTCCTCACTCTGCTCAGGTCAGGGGGTCACTGTGTGCGACAAACTACAGTGTGTATGCGACAAAACCACAGCAGAGTGCATGGCGGCCGCACACTTTAACCACAGCCTGCCGGCGCCGCAGTGCCACGGGTCGACGCCCCCCTGCCGCCGAGCCAGCAGACCCCCCAAACCTCTGAGGGTCTCCCCCCAGTCCAGCGAGGAGTCGGACATGGAGGTCGGGGACGCCAGCAGTGAGGAGGACACGGCTGCGAACACACCTCCACCTCTGCAACCTCCTCACAGGTGAGCTTTTTATTTACAGCAGGAAAAGCAGGTAAACGTGTGCGAAAGTGATGATTCAAACAACTACGAAGATGACAAATTAACAACATTTGGAATAAAGCGTTATTGAATATTTCCATGTAATCGAATGGAGCTTCAACAAACACCGACACAAAGTTCGTCCCGTCAGTGCCGTGCTGATTATCAGATCCTTTGATCTTTCAGCTGCTACTTTGTTTCCACTTTTACATCATTTAAAAACAGATTTGCAGACGCTAACGTCAGAGAGCCACAAAATGAAGATCTCACTGTTTTTGTTAATAAAGAAAATTATATAGATAATTTTAATTTTTTTTTTCATGCAGTAAGGTCCTAATTTTATATTCTAATATCACAACACAAACAACATGAAATTAAAAACAAATCTCTCTCTGCAGCCATGACAGCTCCCACCTGAAGGACGCCGAGAAGTCGACTCCTTCTGCTGGATCACCCGGAGACCTGACACATCCTCCTCCTCCTCTCTCTCCCCCTCCTTCTCCTGCTGCCTCCAGTGAGGAGAGCGGGGAGCGACCGACACTCAGCGGGGTTCAAACCCAGAACCCGAGGCCGAGTGCAGGGCAGGGCCAGGGGCAGCAACCGGGAGACAGAGAGGAGGAAGAACAAGAGGGTAGAGAAGAAGAGGAGGAGGAGGAGGAGGAGAAAGATGGAAAAGAAGAAGAGGAAGAGGAGGAAACGGAGAAAGAGGAGGAGGAAAAATAGAAGCTAAAGAATTCCTTCTCTGTGACAGTCGTGATGTGAAGTCATTTTGGGGCCTTGCTGTGTCACAAGCTGGACTCAATGTTTTCTGACATCTTTGATTCAAAAAAGAAGAAAATCAGTTTATTTACTTTGATTTTTTTTAAACACATGAAATGAATCTGTTGAATAAATGACGGCAAACACGCCTCTCTGGGATCTTCCTCTGATTGGTTCAGAGAGCCGACAGTAATAAAGACACAACAACTCAACAGCTTTGATAGAAACACTTTAATCTCAATGCACATTTTTCTATTTCAATAGAGGCTTTGTAATGAAGCGCTGAGGCTCTGCTGCTGCCGAGCTTCACAGAAATAATGTGCACTGAACGCTTTATGCTTTTGCTCAGTCGATGAATCAAAATGGAAAATAAAACATGAAACTACTTCCAGCTTCTTACGTTTCCTGCTTTTCTCTGTTCCACGTGATTGGGAACTGAGATGTTTCAGGAAGTCCCTTTGAATTTCTAAGACCAAATTAATCAAACGTGACAAGATAATCTAAACTCAGATACTTCCTGACTCACTGGAGCTTTGTGCAAACAGCAAATCCAGGTTTGGGAAAAGTGCAGTTCCTCTTATGTCCACTTGAGGCTCCAGAAGCAGCTGAGGTCACGTAGCTGTAGTTTTGTCATTGAGATGAAAAGTTGAAAGAAATGCACCAAAACAACAATGAAGGTGAACGCGTGAAGCAGCAGCGGGAGCCTCAGCGCCATCTAGTGGTTAAAACCATCAGTGTGATTGAAACAAAGCCGAGCTATAGCAAGTTTGTCACTGTGAACACGGACGCGACGCCTTTAATCTCTAAAACTGGCACAAAAATACATCAGAAACATAAAAAAGAACATTGGAAGCTTTTTTTTTTTGTTCTTGACATTTTACAGCTGGAAAAAAATCCATCTTGAAAGGTGAAGAGTTCATGTGAATATTCTGCTCTCTTCTTTTGTCTTAGTTTTAGGACTCAGATCACCAATCAGGAGGGAAACTTTTCACAGCTCCACAGAGATCATTTCATCAAAAATACTTCTAAGATCTGTTTGTACCAAACACACATCGGTGCCGATTTATTTCTGCTATAGTACCAGGTACACAGTGATCAAAGTGCAAACACAACATATTTTACCGTAACGGTTATTAACTGTTCAGCATTTTTACTTTAAAGTTCATTAATACATCAGCTGGTACTATTTGAATGATTGCTTGAGCTGAATCGGTTGAACATTTATCAAAAGTAGCAGAGCGGCTCGTTCGCAGACCGACTGCTCCGACATCATTTACAGACTTCACATCAGCCGGTCTTAAACGTTTCGGCTCAGAAACACAGACTCAGATCCAGATTCACAAAACCCGTCTGAAGGTGAGCTCCTCCCACAAACACGATCGTTTAGTTATGTCCTGTAACGTCTTCATGGAGGTTTAGACGGCTACCGATGAACGTGTATACGAAAAAACAAACTTCCAATCAGATCCGTGAGCGTTTAATTCCAGTGAACATCGGATTTGACTGAGATACGAGTTTTAAAGTAATCTGTGGAAATGCTGGTGCCGTTGAATCAAAATTAAAAGTCGGAATTAATGTCAAGCGCTTGGCTACGATCCCTTGTAGCCGTTATTTCCTGTCAATAAGTTTAGCATTAATTCAGACACGACGCCGAGCTCCTGAACTGGTCCACTGAACCAGCCTACAGGCTGAAGCAGCATCTGCAAGCCGCTTTGCAACCCCCACCCATCTTTTCGTGCTTCTTCTGACTAAATCTGGGAAAAGCAGAGGACTTTTTTCCCAGTATAATTCTTGTAGGACATTCATCCGACCTCTGGCAAATTGAAGGTGGAATTGGGACAACCGGGCATCTTGATTAACAGAAAAACCAACGTTTGAGGCTTATGCAGATTACAGGAGTTTTCCAGGAGAAGAACACCAAGAGATGGTCTTCAAACGTAGGAGGAACTTGTAAGCATAGTCAGGAACGTGGTCACATATGGGAATACAGTTTTCCAACTATTGTGGACCCAATTTTAAATGATTTTAGTGAATCTGGAGCCGATTCTTCAACCGAGACCATCTGAGAGTTTCAGGTCTGAAGGTTGAGCCTGAGCCGCCACTTAGAGAAAAATAAATCTGGATCTTAACATTAGCAGATTGCACTGATTTATTCCTTTATCCAAAAATAACCAACATCTGGCTCTACATATAATATTCATTCATTTTTCATTATTTTTGAAATGGTATAATAGAATCTACAGTTGAAAAAATAAAAACGAGACCATCTCCCCCACACTGCAACATCCCGCTGAAACCTGAACCATCGAGGTAAACAACAAAAAAGTACACGAGTATAAAGAATTCAGCATTTTGTCCTCGTCTTAGAAGAAATCTCCCAACCTCTAAAATCTCTGCTAGGCAACAATGTAATGATACGTGATGCATAAAATGTACAAAAATATATGATATATATGTATATATATGCTGCTGCGACGACACATTCATGAGAGGAAGATATCATGAATTCCAGCCACATCTAAACCCGACTTTTCTCTAAAGCCCAACTTCAGGATCCGGCTGTTAAAGAGCTCGTTTAGATTTAGTTTCAGCCTTTGATCCCAGTCCCGTCCCTCGGAGGGTCAACGACGATGACTGAAGTTAAAGAGCCATGCAGTTAGTTCATATAATGCATGTTTTTTAAAAGCTATGATTCTACGATGTTAAAGCACGAGAGTTTAAAGCTAAGACATTATGTTGCGTAGATTTGCACAGAAAAAAAACCCAGCAAGAGACTTTTCGCTTGTTCAGGCTGCTCTGCTCATCGTTTCCAGTAAAAAGTCCTCTGTAACCTACGTTTCACACAGTACAATGATTAGACATGTAATACTTATAGAACAGAAGATTTCACCTCCAAACAGCCACTGGATTATATCCGGTTAGGGTTTGGTTAAAGACCTTAAGACCTTTCAATTTCTCAAAAATGTGCCTTTTTGGCGTTTGGCTACAACAAAACCCTGACCGGGTCGCTGGTGCCCGATGGATGTTAAGAGGTCAAACCCACCCTGTTGCTGGTTATCGATACATAAGCGGCAATCGGAGAAGATGAACGGTCAGCAACCGTGAAGGTAAAGGAAAGTAAAGTGGGACTGCTTTGATGTGCAAGGTAAGGGTCACGTTTATCACCTTGATGCTGGTCGTGAACTTTTAAAAGCCTGTAGTAAGTTTGTACCCAGACACACAATCCAACCATCAGTGCATCGCTTTGTTGCCCATGGTGACAGCTGGTTACTTGTGGCTATCAGGTTCCCTAGGCAACCACCTAGGTAACATTGTTTGACATCATGTGCCAATCAGCTTCTTTTCTCCACCTCCACTGGCAGTCGAAATTCTATAATAAGTTGCTCTAACTTTTAAAGTTAGTCTGTTTGGCACACCCGAATGTTAAAGTGGACACTACCCCAGACCTGGGTCACTGACCATGTTTAAAAAAACAAGAAGGTACCCGAGCACACCTGAGAAGCTTTAAAATTCCATCTGCAGAAGAAGAACTGATGGGAAATCAATTGAAATCTTAAATTTTTGTTTTTGTTGTAGCTTTGCTGGCTCCACAGAGGAAGTGGAGTATAGAGTAATTCACCATAACGACGGGATCACAACGCAACGTTCTGCAATATTCAATACAAAAAAATTACAATATAAGCAAAGAAGAAAAAGAATCCCTAAAAATTTGGCATCAGTATTTATGTCGACTTTCCGTGAGCAGCCAACGTTTCATTTCTGAATTTCTTCTGCTTCATGTCCTGCAGCTTTCGTGACCCTGGCCTTGCACATTAAAGCATCCACGTCCAAACAGGTGCACGGGCTCAACTGTACAGATGTGACGCTGCGATGTGATCGGGACAGTCGCACCACTTGTCACGTATCCAGATAAAACATTCACAAACTGCTTGGCCTCGACCCGATGCTGAAAAACACACATTTACTAACAAAGTTTCTCAGATTTGTGAGGCTCGTGTTGGTGATGCCAAACACAGACTTCCAGCTTAGCCAGCATCTCTCATTCAGAAACACAACCAGCGCTCGAGAAACTCATTTCTCCTTCGCCGACGAGCCGAACACACCAATCAGCTCTGAGTGAAAGGAAGCGCCGACCTTCAGCCTCCAACAGCTGCTCGCACCAAACAGAGGCAGCAGGTATCTTCCTCCAACTGGAGGGATTTTCTTCCCACGCTGAGCTCAGATCAGAGGAAAACACTGATAACCATCTGCTATTACAGATCACAGCTGCAGCTGCACCACATACGAATCCTCTCGTTCCCAGAGCGCCTCCTGTAACCTGTTTTGGAAATAAATCAAGGCCCTGTGATAACTGTTGAAAATGCAAGGATGATTAAATCCTCCAAAATGTCAGTGCTTTGTATCGCCGGGGCTGAGGATGGATATTAATATTAATGCGTCCAGCGGGGAGGTTAACTTTGATGCTGCCGGTCGCTTCGTTTTGGAATGAAAAGCTCCACCATATGGCTCCTCACGGGATACGAACAACAGCCTTTTTAGATTGAGACGTTTTAAAATCAAACTTCTGTGTTTGGCAATGAAACAGCTTTGTTTTTTTGTTTTTTTTAAGGCTGCCAACAAAGCTGTGAGGCGGCTGATTCGTTCATGGAAAGCAGGCGTGCGCAGGGACTACAGCGCAAAGTCAAGGAGCTGGATCAGATTCATCTGCAGCCAACACGCTGCCTGCAGCTCCCCCTCATATCAGGAAATATTACAAACAAAGAGCGCGTAGCTTTAATTTTACTTACACACAGGCCCGTAACTGTGATCATAACTGCACTGCTTCATACTTGAGGAATAAACTTCAACTCTTTAAAAGATGCTACATTTGTATTTTTTTGTGATATTTTCACTGCAATCTCTGAGAATATTAACCCCAAATTTTTAATAGAGGAAGTTTAGAGTCCTTTCTAAAATCATCAGCCCCGCCACAAGAACTTTACACAAACTTTACAACAACTTCTCTAAGGACCATCGTCAAAGCCACAGACTGTATATTAAAGATGGATGTAGCTTCCATATCTGAAAGGTTTGAACTCTTTGACAATAAGACCCAAAGGCCTTCTTGCGTTTAGACGTCAGTAAACACTGAGCTCAGATTGTAGTTTCATTTTATAAATCACGTCCTCATTACTGTAACATTAAGCTGCCAATATGGAAGCACCAAAGACTGCAGTTCCTTTCACGGCCACCTGAGGGCGACTCCAGCAGTGAGACAGTCCTCAGACTCTCGTGTTGAAGCTTTCAGCAGAAATAAACATGACTACATCCTAAAAAAAATGTTTTTTTGATAATTCATCTGGATACAGGAGACATGGTTGCTCTGATCATGTGACTACATTATGACATCATCGAAAACCTCAACACTGAGGCTCCAAATGTGGAGCTCAAAACCAGACGCTGATGTCTCGGATTTTGTCCACCTGTGGCTACTGTACTAGTAGTACTAGTGGAGTATACAGTCTTAGTTCCACCATTTGGTAATCCAATCTCAAAGCTCCCCACTAAATTGACACCACACTGACTATGTCCATCTTTTATAGAGTCTCAGGTGGGAGCTGATGGACATGAACACTCCTCTTGACCTTCCTCTTACAGACTCACGCCTCTCAGAAACAATCACGTCATCACCAAACACGAGCGAGCCCATTTCTACTCGTCCAAACGTCGACTCTTCAGCTTTAGAGTGTCGCTGCCTAGCACTTCGAGTATTGCTGTCATTGAATTTATTTATAAGAACTCAGCTGGTTGTTGGAGTCATTTGTGACACACTTTTATCTTAAACAGCAAAGACTGAAGATTAGAGCGAAGAGCTGAGGAGCAGCGAGCCTGAAACTAAACTGCTTTCTACCACCACTTAGGTAATTTCAGTTTTCATAGCTGACGGCTAATATAGATATATATATATATGTATATTGCACATTCCTACTAATCAGTGACGGCACCGACGGCTACTGACAAGAGACAGATAGTTGTTAGGAGGCAGGAGCTGCGTTTGTGAGCCTCACGCTGCTTTTTTAAGAGCGCATGTACAAGGAGTGAAGCTTTGGCTGGACTGGAACAGAGAAGCAACGTCTGATTCAGCAGAAATACACTAAAACCTCAGAGTGGAAGCAGTTTATGGGTTTTCTTGTTGTTTTTTGTTCTTGGTGACTCAAAAGTTCAGTTTGGCTTCAGGGACGCGAGTCAGGAAACAAAGTGTAACCAATCAGAGCAGCGTGGATTAAAGCAGGTTTGAGTCAAGTCGGGAAACAGGATTTAAACTTCGTCCCTGACGGCATCCCGGCCACCTGAACAGAGGAGACTGGAGTGCAGATGTGAGTGTGTTGTTCTTTCTGTGCATTTTCAATGTTGCGTGTGAGCTGGTTTGTGGATGTGTGCGTTCAGTAGACACACAGGTCTGGAAACTTCATCTCGTAGACGGGGACGGACTGATGCTGGGTGTGTCCCGCTGAGATGGAAACCACTCCGGACGGGCTGGGAGGAGGCCTGGTGACGGGGCGTGAAACAAGATGTTAAATTAGAAGGAAAAACTGGTTTTGGTTTGGCAGACGTGCACAAATGTAACCTTTAGGAAGCAAAAACCACCTGATTAACCTGATTATTAGGCTGTTGTCCCTTTCAAAGTCGTCTCCGTGTGCACCTGTGCACTGCCTCCAGCGCTCCGACAGTCCTGCCCACACGTACGTGCACGTCTCAGCTAACGCACACAGCCGGGTCTAATCACGCTCACAGTGCTGTGACTCAGGAGAACTACACAGCAGGTAATGACTGAAGGAGCATTTCATTTCCTCTAAAAAATCCTTTCAAAAGGCGGCCAGTACTGAGGGGAACGACCCGCAACTCAAAGAAAACTCAAACCGTTCCAGAACGCCGTGTTAGCAATGTAAGCATGACTATGAGGAAAAGTGCACGTTATTTGCAGGCGTCGTACTCGTTCACGTGCTGCAAACAGACTGTTATAGTGTTCATGTGACGATGCAATCAAAAAAGAAGTGAGAACATGTCAGACGAACACAGCTAAGCCTAAAAACACTGGGTCGTGTTTTATCATGAGCCACATTCGCTCCAAATATCTCGACACACCTGAAGCCTGGTGCAGATCAGGTGAACCTGCGGCTGGGCTCAGGCAGCCACACTCACCTGGAGCCACATCTGGGCCAAAAATAATCAAACATCTGTTTGTTGAGGAGAACACTGTGGTGACGGCGGGTGATTGAGGCTTCAGGGCGTCTCAGCCACGGTGGTGAAATCACAGACGCAGCTTTAGCAGTGAGGACAGAACGTGACGGGACGCTGGCAGCAGAGCCGAGGGGACGAGCTCGACGGGAGATCAGCCAGGTGTTCTGGGTTTCTTTGACTTTTAGTGTCACGCCTAAGCTTTTCTAATGTGGTGTAAATGTCACCACACCAAGAACTTTTATCTAAATTCATATATTTAAATTAGAAAACTTGCATAACAGACTCACCTGATTGTGAGTTCAAAGATTTGTGCGAGCCGGTCGTGCAGCATGTTTGCCTGGAAGAAGTGAGCAGGAGTTTATTTGGGTGTTTTTTCTGATGCGCTGACAGTTTATTATTTTCTGATTTCTGGCTCTTTTTTTTTTTTTTTTAATAACCTTGGATTCGCAGTGGGCGGCGATCTCCTCGAACGGCGCTTTCTGGAACTTCTCCATCACCTGCCGCCTCTTCGCCCTCTCCTGCTCCTCCAAACCGGTGGTGTCTGAAAACAAACCCCAAACACAGAGCTGCTTTAATAACAGAGACTTAACTATGTGGTGGTTTGTGAGCGCTCTTTCTTCTCCGCGAGACGAGCTTCTCGTCCTTTTACATTGCTGGTTAAAAAATATTTTTAATGGTGAAAATTTCACTGAAACGTCATAAAATCAGAGCTTTTGAAAACTTATTTTGAGGCTAAATCTGCAAACTTTAAGTGGTTTCATCAGATTTGCTGCTTTTTTCTGCTGGTCACTGAAATTAAAAGTTCATTTAGATCATTTTTATCAATAACTGAACACATTAGAGCCCAGAGGTGTTGGTGAAGATGGCTGCCTGGTGGACAAAGTAACCCAGAGTCAACATGAGGAACAGCAGGAAGTCACCGCGTTCTTACCGATGGCCTTCTTCAGGGTCTCAAACGTGATCTCCTCAGCCAGCTGCGACTGTGGACACAAAAACACAAACGTGACCTCATGTTTCCCTCCAGGACCACACGCTGCTTTAAAGAAGATTACTCAGACCTTTTCTGGAAGGCTGTTGGAAATGATGTCCACTTGGAGGGAGACGGTGTCCACGAAACTCGGCCTCCTGGACAGACGTTCTTCACCTTCAGGATGACAGATTCACACCACATAATGCTTTAAAAAGCCACAAACATTTCTAACTTTAGTGTCACGTAAAAGTAAAAGTTGTTTCTTTCCAGCAGAACGATTTCAGAATAATCAAACTGTGCTTACTGAAGCTGTCATATTACTGAAACCCAGGTAGCTCCTGTAATCTGCGCGTCCTTGACAACAGCGGTGACATCTCTGCTCCCGCACACCAAACTCCATCTTTTTTCTCCACTTCAATACAACGAGGAACAAATCCGCCTGATCCCGCGGGGATAAACTCGTCCCCGGGGGACAAACGCACCTCGAGCACTTGTGTATTCATCGCCAGCAGAGGGGAAAATAAGGACCACAGAAGGGCAGCTACTGTCTGAGCTGTGAGGTCATCTGATAAGGTCAGAAAGGTAGCGGATCAGCCGAGACGTGAAAAGCGACAGAAAGCAGCTCTTTACAATCGCACGACGACCTCTGCTGTGAACTTTGCAGAGGCCTGACTCAGCAGCCGTCCTGCGGGCGTTAATGAGGAAAACGATCTGATCGCGGCTGATCCGCTGGAGCTTTAAGATTTTGTTCACACGGTGATGAAACACATAGAACTGAGCCGACGTGACAGGAAGCCACGGTCTCCAAAAACTTTGACCACCTGAGCCTGAATGCAGCCCGGTCCTGCCGGACTTCAAGAGATCAGATTCCCTCTTAAAGGCCTCATGCACTGATTTAAGGTCCCACTCACCACATTTACAGTCTGAATGAATTTAATCTTACTGAAGCGCAGCCGGAATTAAAGAGATGCTGTGATTCATGATCGAGGATCAACCTGCAAACTTGTGCAGCATCCGTCCCTCATTCTCTTCCATCCATCTGGTCCAGATCCTCCCCGAAGGTGTTCCCAAGCCAGCCAAGAGGCACAGTCTCTCAGGAGTCCTGTCCTGGGTCTGGCCTCGGGGCCTCCTCTCAGTTAGACATGCCTGAAACAGCTCACCTGGGAGGCGTCCTAGTCACATGCTTGAACCGCCTCCCTTCAATGTGGAGGCCAAGACCCCTCTGAAAGATCGACCTCCATCTCTAAGACAAAGCCCATCCACCCACAGCTTCACCCTCAGCTGCAAACTGCTCCACCTGGCGATCCTGAGGCCACCAAACTGAGCTGGAAACCTTGCACAGCTTGGACGAAGCTGGTTCTGGTCCATAAAACCAGGCTGCCTGGTGGAGTCCAACAGGTCTGCACTGGTTTGTCCTTATTAGGAGTTTGAACCCACCCACTCTCCTCTCTGAGCTCTAACTGCTTCATGATGATTAACTTCTTCATGTCATTAATAACACCCTACATGAAAAGTTTGTTTTCTGTTAACACTGCAGACAGAAGCTCCACACATGTAAACAATCTAAGTGCACTACGGGTAAACTGCTCTACACAGACGTGGCAGCACGTGTACTCACCGCAACAGGTCCACGAGCAATGCAGGCAAAACATTTCACAGAGTTACCAAATCACATGGTGGGAAAATCTACAGCTACACAACATCGAGCTCTGAAACAACGAAGCACCTCAACGACGCATCTACAGCTGCTCAGCAGTTTAAAGGTCAGGGCGAGTTTCTCTGCAGGCGTCAAAATGCTGTCATGAATTCAAGGTTTGGTCTCTGCTCAGTGTGAAAAACACTTAAACTGTTCACACCACGGGTCTCAAACTCGCGGCCCGGGGGCCACACGGGCACACGTGTTTGTCTGCAGCTTGTGTTTGTTTGGTAGTTCAATGAAAGGCTTCAGTTAAGAGTGAGACATTTTAAAAAACAAACACAACACTACATTTTTGGAAATATTTGTGGGTGTTTTCTTGTTTGCTTGTTGTTTTTTGCACTGCATGAACAGTAAAGTGGTCACATGAGATGACGGTGCCAGCGGCGGCCCACAGCTCATTTGAGTTTGAGACCCTGATATTTGTTCTTCTACACGTTCAGCTGAGACGACAGCAGCAGCAGAGCGAGCAGAGCGAGAGCTCCTGCAGACTCTGATGCTTCACCGTCACAGCTCAAAACCCCGGGTCCTTTCATACTCGCAGTATTTAAAAATGTAAGGGTGTGCTATTATTATTATTAACTCAAAAAAAAAAGATCCTGCGGGAAAAACTGTGAACTTCAGGGAAAATTTTAATGATAAAAAAAGAAGAAGAAATATTCTGAGATTTTACAAATTAGGGAAAAAACTAAAAAAAAATCTTTGAAATTAAAAAAAAAAGCTGACAAAAAATCTTCTAAAATAATTAAACAAATTAAAATAAATAAATAAAACAGTCTGAGACTAAAGAAAACTAAAGATCATGAAGAAAATCTCTGAAATTCTTTTCAAATTTAAATTTAACCCCCAACTTATAAAGATATTTCTTTTTCTTGTATGTTTTTTAAACACAAGTTCGAGGCTTCACTTTGTATGTCGGGTAAACTCGTCAGCGCGCAGACGCCGCTCGGCGCTGTGACATCACGTCAGCACCAGGTGCTGATCCGCGGCTCCTCGCGCCATGAAAGGACACTCTGTGCGAGCTGATCCCTCCCTCTCCTCCTGGGGGGCCTTTCAGACGCTGCTTTTATACCGATGCTGTTATCACTTGTGCTTCTGGGGTTGATAAGTAAATTGCGCCTTAATGAAATTGTCACCGTGCGGATCTAAAGCCACCTCACCCCGTCTGACCTCTTGCCCAGAGCAGCCGTTATCAAGCTTACTGTTGCCAACGCAGCATTTTGCTGCTTTACTTCGGCCTGTTTTCGAGCCGCTTTAGCGACACAGTAGAAATGTGTCCACACTGCTCCTCTCCACAGCAGCAGCCTCGCTCTCCTTCTCTGCTGAGTCCACCGGGTGAGTCAGCAGTGCAGAAGAAGCTAACAGGAGGAGGCTGCATCAGACCTGCGAGAGTTTTCACTGGATCTGACTTTTGTACTAACAAAGTGATCCAATCCTGAGATTTTGAGAAGTGTGCGTGAATGACGTGGATCTCGGGGTCCACAGCGAGTGTGGAGACCTGCTTACACTGACAGCTCAACTCGGAGACTTCAAGGTCAGAAAGAAGCCGTCAAACACTGAAAGCGGTGTGCAATCAAAAACTGGGGTTTGCATTGATTACACTGAACTTTTTTGATTGCTGATTGCAAGTAATTTTGGTGTTTGGAGACAGCAACAGTTCTTGTGAAAGAGCCTTTTCAGTTATAGACTGATGGCAGACTTTGTCTTACTGTAGTTTTATCGTCGTCTTCATGCACCACCGAGTGCTCGCAGACCTGGTCCCCATGGTCGGAGTTGCCATTTCAAAGGCCAAAGACCAATAAGATCAAAGAAGACAGATGAGTGGGAAACGTGGGACGATCATAGAAGATGAACTTCTGAGAATCGGACCGATTCAAAGGAAGAACTTCATTGTTGCGCCTCCTCGTCTGAAGCGTGACGAGTTTCCATTCACCCAACTTTGCAAAGTGAAGCCTTTGGTTTTGCACAAATAATGTGTCAGCTGATCTAAACCCAGCTACACCAGGTGACAACACATCTCTACACGCCTGCACAGGGTTGCCTTGGTTACCTCTGGACGTCTGCTTGCACCTGTGGAGGATTTTTCCTACTGTGTAAAGAACTGAAGGGACATGAAAGCATGACAGAGGGAAGAAAACAAAAGCTTGTTAGACAATTATCAGTTTTCTCCTCCCGCTCGTTCTATCTACACGAGGTCAAAGGAAGAGCACGTGAAGTACGAACTATTCCTGAGCCTTTTTTGGACGTGGGCAGACTTCAAGGTTGAAGTCAAGCAACATTTTGAAGAAGTGCTTTTAAAGAAAGTTGTGTGTGTGAACTCCTGCAGAGGTTCACGTTGTTCTGAGCTGAAACAAACCTTTAAATTACGGAGACGGCGACAGCCGTCGGACTAATAAAGCTGATCGCACACAGAGTTGGTGAAACTTTATTTTCTCTTCACTGAACACTCCTTAAGCTCTTAATCCGACAAAGCTTCAAACAGGGCACGGTGAGTATGAAAAGCAGGGAAATAAAACATACAGCACACAGCGCAGCAGCAGACAGCGAGCGCCTTAAATCCTTTAATCTGACTTTTTACAACCTTTTCAACTCTTGACTTTCCTTCTAACTTGTTACTTGTATCACTTTTATCATATTTCCTCTTTAAGAGATAACAGCACAATGTGACCATCGTCTAATTCGGTGGATTTTTACAGCTACACTTTTCCATCAAAAGGAAATATTTTAGATGCTCCGAGAATCAGTTCAGGCACATTTTCTCAGAAAGCGTCTCTGGTATCTGAGAAACCATGAAATAGGACAAAAGGCTGCTCAACAGGTATGAGATTAAAAAGGTATGAATCAACCAATGAGGGAAGAAAAAAAAAAGTTATCAGAGCAGCAGTTTTCTTAGATAAGAAGAAATAGAAACATGAAGTTCCCCATCCTAACGGAGGCTGGACTGTCGTACCTGTGACCTGAGGAACGTAGGGGATGGAGAGGCGCTCGGCGTTGTACCCCGGCCCGGCCAAACACTCGGCCATGTCGGCCGTCTGGAAGTACAGCTGGCTGTCCTCTTTGTCCAAAGATTCAGGAAGCCTGGAAGAAAAGACGCAAGACACAAAAATAAACTTCCTGAGGAAAAACCTCAGAAGAAAGCGTGTTTTTAGTCAACGCACAGCACGGCTTTACTTCTCAGAGCGACGCTGCAAAAAGGTCACATTTGTTCTCATCTGTAATTCAACTCTGTACAAGTTCATATCGGGGTCCCTGCACATGCATCTCACAGCTGGCTGCACAGAGACAAACTCGGTTTGTCCCAGTCGGAGCACAAATCGCTTAAATGAAAAGCAGCTGGTAGCATCGAGGTGACTGCTGTTGTGATTTGGTGCTGTATAAATAAAACTGAACTGAAGCGAGTAGCTGTTTGTCAGTCTTACATCTGTCGATGCAAAGACATGCTGCTGTTGTTCTAATAATATTTTTTTATGAGTTATTGATCCCAGAAGTTGAATATGTGAATTTATCTGCAACCTTGAAAAGTGAAGCAGCACGGTTCCTTCACTCCTGAGTTTGTTTCTCGTAAACTTTCAAACTTTTTAAGCTTCAGCTGCCACACTCATTACTGCTCTGTTTATTAGAAAATAATGAGGCTTCACAGCCTTTTTCTAACCCGAGCCATTGGATTATTTCTCATGAAACAAATTCAGGCTGTAATCTGCACTTACGGACACTTGTCTCTGAAGATGTGCTCTGGGAGGAGGTAAGGAGCATCCATGTTCCTCAACTCAATAACCTGCACAGAGAACAGCTGATTATATGATGTTACACTATTTACAAATAAGAAAGACGTAAACAAGAAGAAACAGCTAACAGGCAGAAAACGGCGGTGCATCATCAGCATACTGAATAAATCATATTTTTGTATTTTCTGCAACAAATGGCAGTAAAAACAAAAAGTGGGAATGAGAGCCAGCTGCTCTGATCCTCAGTAAGGTCAGGGAGGAGTCACCTTGCTGACGTGCTGGCAGAAGGGCGGGTTGGCAATCATCTGACTCAGGAAGTTGAGGTACGCGGCCACCAACGCCATGATGCCGCAGCGGATAAACATGGGCAGGTTCTCTTCGTTGTTAAGAGCCATTTCCTGCACAAACCAGTTGCAAAAACTGTGTTAGCGAGGACAAACCAGCAGCTCGGCTTCCGTTTCTGGTCGTGGAAGCATCAGAACTCCCCGCATACACTCGGTACACCCTCACAGGAGTTGAGGTTTACTTCCCCTTTAATCTGTGTACAGGGTTATAGCATGCAGCAGCGTTTCTCTAAGGTCACACGAACACGTATCTTCTATTTTCACACACCGTCAGTAAAAAGGTTGTTGTCAAGGTAACGACCCTGAGGTGACACAGCAAACAAGGCAGACTAAATACACTGTGCCACATGTCTGTGACGCACTGAGTGCGACTTTGTTTTAGCTTCAACCAAATCTACCAAAGAATATTACAGTAATAATGCCAATAAAAAGCAAAATACTATCTAAGTGGAGAAGCTGGAAACAAATATCTGGCTTCACTCGAGCTAAGAGGACCAGCGCAGATGTGTGGTTGCTTTGGTTCAGTATACTCATAAACTATTTTACATCAGATTCTCTGAAAATTGACACAAGACCGGGTTAAGTGCTCGATCTTGAAACTCAAGATGTGACGATCAGATTTGACTGAAGCCGCAGTCGTTGGCTTGAAACCATAAACTCAAAGTGTTTACAGAGGTCAGGCTGGAGGAACGTTTTACCATCGATGTCTAGAAGACTGGAGTCTTTTTCCAACCGCCAGTATCGCCCCCCAGTGGCCTTTAAATTAAACGCAAACACTTTAGCACTAAAATTGTCTGGCGAGTGATTGCAGGAGCTGGTCATGAGTGTAGAATGGTTACAGACTGGTATAGGATGCTGCACTGGAAACCTTGGGACTGGTTTGGTTACTAGCAGATTGCAGTGGTGGCCAGTAAATTGCATGAAAAATGCTGACTTGTCTGTAAACACTCGCCAACTTTTCTCAAGGCGACTGTGAAACGGACACGTGACAGAAACCAGACTGAAGGGAAACGTGACAGAAATGCGTCCCCATGAATTTGTGCTATGAAGCACTTCCTGTCTGAAACTGCATGAGAAAGAAACTAAACAGTCTTTTTTTAATACTTCTATGTCTCAAACGTTCCCTGAATTAAACGAAGGTAAACACAGCACTCAGAGTGTGTGTGCGTGCACAAACATCATGTCTACAGTGCTGTGACATTTGGAAACGATAAGATCTCAGCGTGATGCACAAACAAAATGAAGCTGCACGTTTGTGTGTGCATGTGCGTGTCTTTTATGTGTGTTGGTGCGAGCGTGCACATTTCCTTCGCACCTCTCTTGCACTTCCAGGAGGTTTTATTGGAGCTGCGTGGGTTCTCACGGTCTAATGACATAAAGGCAAATGACAGCACAGCTACTCATCAGCCACTTAAATATGACACCTGACACCAAAAATATAGCATAATCACATCGAGGGTGCTTTAGACTGAAGCACCATAATGTGGAGCGTGAAGAGCTGGTTAAACACGAGGTTAAACACAAACCCTCCAAACAGGGATGTAACTGAGGATGTTTACTCCACACCTCGGCACTGACAGCACCACAGCTTCAACAGACGACTTGATCTCCTCGCCGATAAAACGTTTCCACTATCACCTGATACCGGTGACCTGGAAACACTGCACACTCATGACTCGTCTAATTTTACAGTATTCAAGTTATAATAAGCTACGTTTTTACATTATATCTGAGTGAATGTTTGGGGACTGTGTCACTCTGTTACTGCCTTCTACGAACACACACCATCACTGCAGGCATCTTAACTCATTTCAGTGGTCACCAGAACATAAAGTACATGTCATCAGTCAGATCTGATCTTAAAAACTCTGACCACCATATCTCTGCTGTCACGTGGTTCTTTGGGTGTCTGTGGTGATGCAGAGACGGTAAAAATAAATGAAAAGTGTTAAACAAACATTATTTAGATTAAAATTCCCATCTGACACGCTTTGACACATCCTTATGACAAATCAGATGTTCAGATGCACTTTTTTAAAACTTATTTTAGCCTCAGCTCGTTGGCTGCAAGCCGCTTTGCAACCTCTCTGTCCTGTTCTGATCTCTGCACAGAGACACAGACGTCCTGAATATAAAGTGCTACAGATGGAAAAAACCTTCTGACTATATGTAATCTCTGATCTGAGAAATATCACAGATCTTCACATCTGTGTGGAGAGAGGTGAGATACAGCCACAGTCATGGAAGCTGTTAATGAGGAATCGAGCTCAGTGAGGCTGCGACACGAGATCAGAACAAATCAGAAACAGAAGAAAATCCCTCACCTTTCTCCTGAGTGTGTTGAAATCGAGAGTTTACAGATGGGTGCAGACTATTTTTAGATTTCAGATACTTAACTCTGGGAATTATGGATGTAAAGTTTAATTGAAACTGTAAATGTGACAGAAAGAGCCAGAAAATCTACTTATGATGAGATTATTCTGACTGAGCTTCCAAACACAACCAAACAGAGGAAACTGCTTTTTGTCTTCGCTTTGACTAAATACAGAAACTTCAGATGTGAATTCATCGGTTTTACCTGCAGCGCGATGGCGAGTCGAATGAGGTCGATGACCACTTCCTCATTGGCCAGCTCGATGGTCAGAATGGCGAGGGTGGTGAAGAGCAGCTCAAAGTTTTTGTGGACGTTATCTTCCTCTTTGCAGCCCAGATAGATGTGACGGTAGAGCTGCTGGCCGTGCTTCAGGGACGACGCAGAACCAGAAGCAAAGACAGAAACAAAGAGGAGGACAGAAATATGAGAGCTGTTTAAAAAAAGTACCTTTAACATGTTTAACATAAGGAAACAGCGGAGGTGTCGGGGACTATTTTCAGTGGCGGATTAAACGATATGTGGGGAGTTTTAGTGGCAGTGTGGGGTAAATGTAAACTGCAGCATGTGGGTTCACTTTAATGATGGTCCATGTTCTCCAGTGCAGACTCACTGATGTGGATGACAACAGAGTCACATGACTCAGGCTGCGTCACCCACACAGTCAGCAGGAGACGCTGACTCTGGACCATCAGGTAAATTGAGTTTAGTACTCCTCCCCCTTTGTGAGTGTGGACGCTTCATCTCTTTGCTCTCTAAATGCTTTTCTTTTATTGATTTTTATGCCGATTTTTTCCCTTTTTTCCGTATGAGCTTACCTGCGATAACTTCTGGACACTTATAGATCTTTAGGACTAAAGTGTTCTTAACAGAAACAGCAACATTTTTATAGTTACCTTATCCTCAGCGCTCCGTGTGTCTGTGGCCTAGACACAGCTGAAGTCTGATTACAGTGTCTGGGCACCGAGCAGCCTCAATAGCCTAGAAAGGTGCTAACCGCTAGGCTAACTAGCAACAAGATGCCTTCCCTCTCCACAGATGACTACCACAGCCTCCTGCAGACGATTGCAGCACTGGAGACAAAAATTCATCGCTTAGAAGTAAACGTGGAGGTAAATGGACTGTGTGGAAATGAAACAACCTTGCCTTTGACTCAAAACAATGGCGATGAGCAAGCTAGCACACAGCTAAGGAGCACAGATAACATGACCAAGAAAGTAGACTTTGTGCACTATTATAAATCTTCAAGCGATAATCCCCCCTTGGACTGTCTTGGTGCAAAACCAAGACATAAATCATGTCTCCTGGAAGAGGGAGGACGTATCACAGGCAGAGCACAGCGAACTGAAATCTCTGAAACCGACTGGCCTTCACTTCCTACGAGACAGAGAAGCTCTTCTATCCCTGTACACGAGAGGAAACAGGACTGGACAACCGTAAATAGGAAGGTTAACAACAAACCTTCAAAACAACTGAATGTGAAACTGCAGAACAGATTTGCTCCACTATCAAAGGACCCTGGATCTATATCGGACAACCATCCATCTAAAAGCAGCGAAGTAAGGCCTGAAAATCCACGGGGAAAGCTAAAGGCTAGGCCTGAAACGCTGATTGTGGGTGACTCTGCCGTAAAGGATGTACAAAGCATGTGCGGTAAGAACACTAAAGTCCTCTGCTTTCCTAACGATATGGTCAACATCCTGAAGGAGAGAATTCTTCAAATTGCAGATGAATATCCAACTGTGACAAACATTGTCCTGCATACAGGGTCAAACGATGTAACGATGCCACAGACTGCTCCCAAACACGAGGGGACAAGTAATGCCTCTAAAACACTTAAGTTGGCTTTATTAAACGTTAGATCTTTAGCTGGGAAAACATTTTTAATTAATGATTTAATCACTGAGCACAGCCTTGATTTTATGTTTTTAACTGAAACTTGGTTGGACCAAAGTAACAGTGGAGCTGTTCTCATCGAGACGACCCCTAACTACAGTTTTATCAGTGAGGTCAGGGTGAGCAGGAGAGGAGGAGGGGTTGCTGTCTTATTTAATGAATCATTTCAATGTAAGCAGCTATCTCCTGGAAGTTTTCAGTCTTTTGAATATGTGGCTTTACAGCTGAAGGCCCCATCCAAAGTTGTGTTTCTTAATGTTTACAGGCCTCCCAAATACTGCACAGACTTTTTTAATGACCTCAGTGAACTGCTGTCTGTGATCTGTGTTGATTTTGACTGTGTAATTATTGTTGGGGATTCTAACATCCATGTGGACAACCCTCAGGACAAAGGGACTAAAGACCTGAGTAACACTCTGGGCAACTTTGGGCTGACTCAGCATGTAACAGAGGCCACACATAATAGAGGACACACTCTTGACCTACTGCTATCCAAGAGCCTGAGCATTTCAAACATTACTGTGTCTGATGTGGGCTTATCTGATCATTACTGTGTTTTCTTTGAAAGTAAAATCTCAGCCCACACAAATATATCAACAGCAGTTATCACAAAACGGTGTATAACTGAAGACAGTAGTGAGATCTTTAACCAGGTCTTCCCATTAACACCTGACCTGTCCAGAGGGTCAGTCAATGAGCTCGTCAATAGCTTTAATGCAAAAATGTTAAATGTAATGGATACTATTGCCCCCATTAAGGTGAAGGTTATCTCTGGAAGGAAAAAGTCTCCATGGAGAAACTCCACACTAGTGAAAAATGAAAAAAAGAGGGTGTAGGAAAGCTGAGCGCTGATGGAGAAAAACAAACCTCCAGGTTCATTATGACATCTATAAAGAGAAACTTCACAATTATAATTTACAACTGAGGAGTGCAAGAAGGTCCTACTTCTCTGACATCATCACTAAAAACAGCCATAATGCTCGGGTCTTAGTTTCTACAGTTGACAGGCTAACAAACCCCCCTGTGCCAGTGGCAGCTGAACTTCATTCAACCATGGCCTGCAATGACTTTGCCAAATTCTTCACAGACAAAATCCAAAAGATTAGACAAGCAGTTGGTACATCAACAGCAGATCCAGGATATGTACTGTGTCCACCGAAAAACTGCTTAAACACCATCAAACAGTTTCACCCGATTAACAGCAAAGACCTGGAGGACATCTTAGGTCAACTGAACTCCTCCTCCTGCTGTTTAGATGTCCTGCCAACAAGTTTTTTCAAAAAGGTCTCAAAGACTTTAGAGTCAGACCTGTTACAGATCGTCAACTTTTCCTTATTATCAGGTGTGTTTCCGGAACCACTAAAAACTGCTGTAATCAAACCTATACTGAAAAAGGACAATCTTGACAAGACACAAATGAAAAACTACAGGCCGATCTCAAATCTCCCGTTTTTAAGTAAGATCATTGAAAAAGCAGTTTCTCAACAGCTCAATTACTTCTTAAAGCAGAATAACTGCTATGATGCCTTCCAGTCAGGTTTTAGACAGAATCACAGCACTGAAACCGCTCTGACAAAAGTGTTTAATGACATATGTCTGAACACAGACAGTGGAAAAATGTCAGTCCTAGTTTTGCTGGATCTCAGTGCAGCATTTGATACAGTTGACCACAACATATTACTCAAATGACTGGAGAACTGGGCAGGTCTTTCAGGAACTGTACTAAACTGGTTCAAAACATACGTAGAAAACAGGAAATACTTTGTATCAATAGGTAACTTCACATCTGAGCAGACAAGTATCACATGTGGAGTTCCCCAAGGTTCCATCTTGGGACCCCCTCTGTTTAACATTTACATGCTCCCACTGGCACAGATTATAAAGAACAACAAAATAAACTACCACAGCTATGCAGATGACACACAAATATATATCACAATGTCACCAGGAGACCGAGGCCCTGTACAGGCTCTTGGTAAATGCATTGAGGAAATTAATGACTGGTTGTGCCACAATTTTCTCCAACTAAACAAAAACAAAACTGAAGTAATAGTCTTTGGCGCCAAAGAAAAACGATTACAGGTCACCAGAGAACTTCAATCTATACATCTAAAAACCACAAACCAGGCGAGAAATTTGGGTGTAGTGATGGATGCAGACCTAAACTTAGAAAAACACATTAAGACAATAACAAAATCAGCTTACTATCACCTCAAGAATATTTCAAGGATAAAAGATCTGATGTCTCAACAGGACCTGGAAAAACTAGTCCATGCATTCATCTTTAGTAGGCTTGATTACTGTAACAGCATCTTTACAGGTCTACCTAAAAAAAATCAGTCGGACAACTACAGCTCATTCAGAACTCTGCTGCTCGAGTCCTCACTAAGACCAAAAAAGTGGACCACATCAGTCCAGCTCTGAGGTCTTTACACTGGCTGCCTGTCCGTCAGAGGATAGACTTTAAAGTTCTGATGCTGGTCTATAAAGCTCTGAATGGTTTAGGACCAAAATACATCAGTGACCTCCTGACCCAGTATGAACCTTCCAGATCCCTCAGGTCATCTGGATCCGGTCTTTTATCAGTTCCCAGAGTCAGAACCAGACACGGAGAAGCTGCATTCAGCTTTTATGCTCCTTATAGCTGGAAAAAACTCCCAGAAAGCCTCAGATCAGCTGAAACACTCAGTTTATTTAAATCCAGGTTGAAGACTCACCTGTTCTCAGCTGCATTTGAATAAAGCACCAAATCCACACTTTTAAGCTTAAATTTCAAAACTTACATTTAACTACTGATTTTATCTGTTTCTGATTTTATCTGTTTTGATTTTATATACTGTTTTGTTTGTTTGTTTGTTTGTTTGTTTGTTTGTTAAGTGGGTTTAGAGCTCTGGGTAGCTCCCCAACTGGGTCTAGAGAGTATTTTAAATTCAGGGAATTTAAAATAGAAAGTAGCTCGTCCACAGAAGAACTGGTAGCTCCCCTTACGATAAGGGTTCAGATCACGCGAACAGGTGTGAAATGTGTGTGTTTAGTTAGTTTGTTTGTTTGCTTGTTTTAATCAATTTTAAATCATGCTTTTTATTTGTTTTTGTTTCTAATGTCTCTGTAAAGCACTTTGAATCACCTTGTTGTTGAATTGTGCTATACAAATAAATTTGCCTTGCCTTACCTAATAACAGACGGCAAGCTGAGGACGGCGGGGGGATAGTAACTATATTACAGGAGTTTGAGATTAGGGCGACCGTGGCTCAGGGGGTTGGGAAGCGTATCTGTAACCGGAAGGTCGCCGGTTCGATCCCGGGGCTCTCTGTCCTGGTCGTTGTGTCCTTGGGCAAGACACTTTACCCTACTTGCCTACTGGTGTTGGCCAGAGGGGCCGATGGCGCAATATGGCAGCCTCGCTTCTGTCAGTCTGCCCCAGGGCAGCTGTGGCTACAACCGTAGCTGCCTCCACCAGTGTGTGAATGTGAGAGTGAATGAATAGTGGCATTGTAAAGCGCTTTGGGTGCCTTGAAAAGCGCTATATAAATCCAATCCATTATTATTATTATTATTAATTCTGCTGTTATTGCTTAGCTTCAAATTTAATTTCTTTAAAGTAAAAAATATCAACATTTCCTCTTTTCCAGCTGTAAAGATTCATTTTTATCTTCTGCGATATTAACCTGACATTTTTTATCAGATGGATACAGACATTTACAGACCTTGGGCTCTAAAAATGCATGACGGCGATTTTTAAGGACATTTTTTGACATTTTAATAAGCAGAACTTAATGGCTCTCTCAGTAAAAAAAAACAACCAGCGGATTAAAGTCTTAATTAATCGCCCTGTTCTGAACATCTATCACAGCAGCTCCACTGCGGATGAATCAAAAAGTTATTGTCCCTGAAAACGCCAATGAAATGATTAATCCCATTAAAATCTGGATAAAAATATCCCACCGCTGCTGGAGTGGGATTTATGAAACACATAAAAGCAGAGCCCGGCTGCCTGCATTCGTTATAAGCTCGACAGCTGAAGACAAAAACTTTTATTTACAGCTAATTAATTACAGTTAGACACGTTAATGACCTTAGACACCGGCCTACAGAGGAGGTCGTTCCCCCGACCTCTGGTTACGGCTCAGGTGTGATTCGCAGGTGAAAGAGTGAAATCGCAGGGCTTCATTTTGGAAATGCCGCGTGCCGATGATGACCGAGGCTTCCCGCCCAGGTCAATGAGCTCCAAAGACCTCGCTTGTAAAAACACCTGCATTCGGATCATCTCCAGCTCCATGTTTTCACTACGGCTCAGCTGGAGCAGCTTTCCAAGATTCCCGGTTCAAAATAATCTGTCTGAAATAACCTGCTTTAGCTCCTCCCCCTACCTTCTGATTGGCATTGCAAATATTTGGCCAGCAGACGAATGAGGCAGCTGCGCCCCTGTATTATTCTTATTCACAGAATGACCACCAGTATATCAGGTGACTCCTCAAACATGTAGCAGACACATCGCTCCACACGGTGCTGTCGGCTTTTCTTGTTTGACATTGTTAACATGTACAAAAGAAAAACAATGATTTTTTTTCATGTTTATAATTTGCAAATTTGGTTCTTTTCATAAACTTCTATAAAAACCTGCCTTCTTTTTAAAAACCGGACTCTCTGCCCCCTGCTGGCCACAAGAAAGAATGCAGATTTAAGTCAGTTGTATAATCACAGGCTGTATCTATACAGCCATCTACCAGGTCATCTACCAACTGGGAGGTTGGTGGTTAAATCCCCGGCATGCTGAAGTATCCTCAGGCAAGACACTGAATCCCAAACTTCCTCTCATGGATGCACTGGAGTGTGAGGGTGTGAAAAAGTCCTTGCGTTTGTGTGTGTGTGTGTGTGTGTGTGTGTGTGTGTGTGAGTGTGTGTGTGTGTGTGTGTGTGTGTGAGTGTGTGTGTGTGAGTGAATGGGAGAATGAGACTTGTAGTAAGAAAGCCCTGAGTGCTAAAATCGGCTAAAATTATGCAGCATCAGATCCCCTTTAAAAGTTGCATTTTGTTTCAATCATTCTGTGTTTCTCAACTGTTCTGTGTGTCACATTTCCCCCCCAAGAGATGATTAAGGTTAAATGAGGTCAGCAGTAAAAGACTGAGAATCTAAAGGAGTATTTCTTTAGAAAAGAGAAACTGTGACCTCAGCGCGATTATGATACCTTCTTCATGAATGCGACGTCTTGCTTGGAAATCTTCTCTCTCTTAATCTTCAGTGCGGAGACATTAGGAATGATTCTGTAACAGAGCCGGACACGAGAGCGTCGTTAAACCTGGCGCCAGCACCGCAGGGCTCGTGTAAGTACGGTGAGCGATGCGCTACCTGATGCCGCGCAGCTTGGCGCGGTTGTCGTGGCGGTCGAGGATGTTGTGCAGGATCTCGAACACCAGCTGCCTCAGCTCGCTGTCCTCCATCAGAGAGATGGAGAAGAGCGGGTCCAGGAAGGGAGGAGGCAGAGCCGCCGCCATGGACTTAGACTTGAAGCCGGAGGTGACCTGAGGAAGAGGAGACAAGGTGAGATTCATGGCGGCGTGCAGCAATTACCCCAGAGGGAGAAACGGCTGATCGGCAGAGCTTAAAGGTTACGTTCACAAGCTTGTGAGCGTGTGCCAGTGTTGACTTTTCCCACCGTTTGTGACTCTGACGTGATCATTTTCGATCAGCGTGAACAGCCGAAGACAAATCTGATCGTTATCACAATCACGCTCCGCGTCGGCATGCCTCACTCTGCTGCGTGAGAGCGCGTCGAGGCACAAAATGACAAACACTACACTGTTTTTAGCAAAAAATGTATCCTGTCAGAGACGCATGCAGACGCCACACTGATCACTGTAACGGGTGATGTGGCCCATGTGATCAGCCAGAGCAGGGCCTCGCAATACATGCACATCAGAGATGCATACGCAGTAGAAACCGTCACAACTCGCTGAATTTTTAACATTCGAACCGTTTGGTTTGTTAGCAGCAGCTGCAAATGAGAAGCTTTAGTGTAACTTTGCTGAGTCCTGGCTGTGATGATCACTCAGCTTCAGAGATGCTGAAATCTGTAACGAAGCAGACTCGCCTACTTCAAACAAGGTGGGAGAGTGAACCGAGCATGTCAGACTCTCACTCGGTGTTTGTACATGTGCACTGTGGTCTAATTTACCAGCGCAGTTATTAAATGGCTTTAATTGAATAAGTCGGCCCTGTGATGGACTGGCAACCTCTCCGAGCTGCGTCTTGATCTTCGTCCTGGGTGAGTCCCTGCTTTCACCCCGACTACGAACCCTGAAAACATCTGGGTTTTCTCCCAGCAGGCTGCAAAATCACACACACACACACACACACCTCATAATGCTCAGCCCCATCTGCTGTCGCATGGCATTATAAAAACTTCAACCTTTCACCCCTCCTCCAGCTGCTCTGAGAAGCAGGTGGCGGCGCGACGAGGGGAGAAGAGGACAGACATCCGTAATGAAGCGGCGAGAGAGCGTGCACGAGGGTGTGTGTGTGTGTGTGTGCCACCTGTGCCTCCTCGTCTCGGGGAGATGAGGGTCTCTCACTGAAGCAGATAATGAAGGAGAAGGAAGCGACTTCACGCAGACTTCGAGTGTTAAACAGCCAGAGCTCCAACATGGCCGATAATAAACACACAAATACGACTTTCATGTAACTGGAGACGCGTCATTAGGACGGAGAAACGCGTCTTTGATGCTTTTACATTTAGAGAACATGACTCATTGTGAGGACGTCCAGAGTTTTCGTCCGTGGGTATTTCAGGTGGGACTGTGCACTATTTTAGTTTTCCTTATTGAAGCTCAGGTTTTGTATGCCGGTGTCTTTGTTCCTGTCTCATGAACGGAGGGAACAAACCGAGGACTCACCATGATGAGGGAGCTGAGCAGCATGGTCTGGATCCGCTTGGTGCCCTGATGCCTGCGTTACACAAAAGATAAAGAAACCCCGTCAGGACCGACCGCAAACTCACAGTGTCCAGTACAGCAGACCGGAGGGCAGCCAGTCCCCACAGGCTGCCATGTTACATGTTTACAGCAACTGCATGACAAATAAGAAAGCTGTGAGGTTCAGAACACCCGAGAAGTGAAATGAACACATTTTATCTGCTACTTCGTATTTATTAGTGTCACTGTCAACACACGATTGGTTCAGACCAGCAAACGTTTATAGAAGTGAGAACACTTGCTGAGGATCAGTTAATCAAGTGTATTTGATAAGTGGCTCTGAGGTACTACTCACTGTCTGAAATCACAGAGGCAGTGAGAATGCACTCAGTGTTTTTAAATAGACTTCATGGAGTGAAAACCTGACGATGCTAGCTTTAGCTGACAGCTTCAACATGCAGTCCAGATGTGCTCACCTCTGCCTATAAAATAGCAAACAGCCAAAACACAAAACCTGAAGCTTCAAAATGAATGTGCACTGACATCCAGACAGTCTGTGGTTCTCTTCACAGTCTGAAGACTCCACGAGGAAGAAGAGTAAAGGTGCTGTAAGCAGCAGCAGGACATCTTCAGTGTTGACTTTTATAGTGAAACGCTGTCAGACCTCCTTGTTAGCATCAACAAGCTGCAGAGAGAAATTACCCGAAAAGGAACAGAGAGAGCGAGCGTCTGTGAGGAGGAGGAGGGCGTTCGTCTGATTTGGGATTATCTGCCCTTGCACTCTCGCCTGAGGGATTAGCTTGTTTTTCTTTCTTTATTCTGGCTGCAGGGACGGGTGCACTGCGGGGTGTCCAGGAGGTGAAGTGAGGACAGATTAGGAGAAAGATTTGATGAAGAGAGAAAAAAATTGCAAGCGTCTTCTTTAGAAACTGCTTCCAGTGTTACACGTTACAGCGCTGAGCTAAAAATCAGCACAGCTTTAACTCCATGAAACCAGAATATAAAGGTTCAGCCCAAACCTCACAGCTACTGAAGGACCACAAACAGAGGCAAAGTACTGAGAGGCAATGTTTTGACCCAATGACTGCCCTTTGGTCTCTGAGGATAAAATATAATACAAAAATGATTTTAAAAGCACGAAACGTATCATCAAATCATATCGTTTCATTGACACAAGCATGGAGTTCAGGACAGTTTAAATGTGCCGTGACAGTAAAATCCACTCATCGTCACCATCATCATCCAGCTGCAGAGAAGTCTCCTGACAGTACAGTCCTGTGAGCACAGCTTCATTTGTGACGAGCGACCAGCCGAATCGGCGTCTTAGCTGCACGCAGCGTTAGCGGCGGCGTTTCAGAGCTGTGAGCTGACTGGCTGCAGCTCTACGAGGGAACCTCCGGGTCTCTGGATAATGAATGTGTGACTCACCCAATCTTGACTGTGTCCAAGGCGTGGCAGGGCGTCCCGTAGACTGGCACTTTGCCCATGATGAACATCATGACTTCAGCTCGCTGGTAGTCTGGCAGATTTCCACCGAAGAAGCCTGGCGGCAACGCCACGAGAGAAAAAGATGAGTCAGAACTCAGTGAATGAAAAAAACGTTGACATTCAAGGTTATTTTTACTAACACATGCAGGCACATGTTCATTAAGACAAACACACTCTGGAGTAATAGAGGAGCTCGTACCGATGGTCTGGATGATGGCGTTCTGGACGATCCGCTCCTCGCTCTCTTTACTGCGGACGGACGAAACGCTGGAGGCGGAGTTCCTCCTCGAGCTGTCGCCCAGCTCAAAGTCCACGCTCATCCTCAGGTGTTTGAGCAGAGTGTTGAACACCTCCAGCACGGTGGGCCCTGCCATCACACCCGCAGGTTAAATGAACATCACAGGAAACATTAGCCTGACATTTTCGTAAACAGGAAGAGTCGGGTTTCCATCTTTTGTTCGTATCGGGCCTTTTAACTATGATTTCGTAGGAGCTTTGCATAGGAAAAGCCACAAAAAGGTGAAGAGAGAAGGATTATTTAATCCTAAAACAGGGCCTGTTTCGTTGCACCTGGTGTGGCTAAAAGTGTTCATTTATTTTGAAGGCCAGTGGCAGATGTTGTAGAAACAGCTGTATAAACAGCCTGGGTCCAGCTCTTTAATGAGTCGTTTAAACATGTATTAGTCAGCTGCCACTAAGTGAAATTTGGGGTTTTGCTGACACTGCTTGTGTGGTCCACGAGTGGCTGAGAGCTCAGTAGCTTCACAAACACACAGACTGGTCAGAATCTCACAGTAAATAAAATTCTGTGGTTTTCACACAAATTTCAGGTTTCAGATTTACGTGGTTTGTTTCCCTTCGTTGGATAAATCCCACACTCCACCTGAGCCGTCACATTTTTGTAGAAAGCTGTTGAAACCTCCAACATGTGAACAGTCACCATCAGTTTCAAACAGCCTTAAATGGAAACATATCGACACTCCTGCCTCAGATTGATCTGTCGAGGAGACACACGTGTAACATGTGCTCTGATAGTTTCCTCCTGCTTGTTTCTACCCAGCTGGTCTCTGAACTGGCTGTTTGCTCCAACATGCTTAGCTCTGGCCCCGCTAAGCTAACATAATGCAGCCGACGTGGTATTTAACCAATAATCAAGGGAAATATACAGTTTGACTGCTTCGTTAAAAATAAGGCAAAACATTTTTACTAAAACTTTAACTTTTATTTTAATGGGTTCATGGATAAACTCAGGAAGAATTTTAAATACTTTTCCATCAGGCAGATGCTGCCATGTTACCAATAGACCAATTAAAACATAAATAATTCGGAGAGCTTCCAGGCTGCTGTGATAAGGAGAAGAAAACATATTTGCTTTAAACACTTAAAATTATCTAGTGAGCTATTTTTGGTGGAGCTGAACCTGCAGATATCCGACATAAACTGCAGTAAAATAAACACGAACAGCCTCTGCTTTGCAGTCCTAATTCACTCTGTCACAGAAAGCAACACCACAGATTATTACAAGCCAGCGCTGAACGGGCAGCTCCAGGCACAGCTCGGACTTCGCTCGTTTAAAGAAGACAGAAAACATACTTTTAAAAAAACGGAGACAGGAAAATAAAAAACAACAAATGGAGACCGTAATATAAAGCTACATTAAATTTTAGCAAACATTATGAATATGAAAAGCGACATTACAGAGGTCCTGAAGTTCCTCTGGTGGCCACTTGAGGCCGCCTCCAAAAGTGAGTCAACCTCAAACTATAAAAGATGGACTTCGAAGGTTAACGCGTCAACCAGCGTGCAGCCCGTTTCTGCTGCTCCTGCTTCTTTACTTTTTACTTATTACTTTTTTCGTTTACTCAGTACTTTAGAGTGTTCGCTTGTTTTAATAGCTTTCTTTTACATAAATTCCTTTGGGATTATTAAAGTATTCTGACTTAAAAGTGAAGCCAATGCACAAGTGCCTTAAACTTGCACTTTTATAAATGACCAGTAGAGGGAGATAACTGGTTACAAAAAGACTTCCGGTCCTATAAACATGTAGCAGTACAGATAATATATTTGGCGATATATAATAATCTAATATTCCAACAGACGTCTTTTCTTCTTTCAGACATGAAGCAAACTGATTTCCTTAATATTTGTCGAGGGTTGTTATTTAATCGATTAAGCTCAGCTCGTTGTTGTTTACGGCGTTCCAAACAGAGAAACTGCAGAGTGCCCTCTAGTGGACTACTATGCAATGTCAGCACTTATAACATGGTTGAAGGATGTTTCTCCATGTCTTCTTTACCTTTTTGTTATTGGCTGCCATAAATGCCAATACAGTAGATCAGCCAATAGCTAACACTGGCTGATATTATGGGTGTGCCAGTACACGGGTCAGGCTGCAATGCTTTGTTTCAGAAAGGAGGATTATCTGAGGAGTGCCCGTCTGTCATCACATCCAGCTTCATGGTGACGGTGGAAACGCTCATCTTGATTTAAAATGGGACTTCACAAACCAGTGGATGACATCACAGTAGCTACATCCATCTTTGTAAATCTCACAGATCAGGATTCTTTGAAGGGTTATTTTTTACTTTCTCTAGCAGTCTGGGAGCAAACAATTATCTACAACAACACATTTTGAATTACCTTTAGTAATACTTACTCTAATCTACTGACACAGACTGACTCACAGAATCACACGACGGTGCTATTCTACATACCACCAACACTGAGCTACACAACCACGGCGTGATCTCTGCGCGTCTGCAGCTTCCCCGTTTACTCAGCTCACACTTCGGACACTCTGTGGATTTGTTCAAATGTCACATGACACTGAGTGACCAGAAAGAAATATATAGAATAGTTACAGAGGGCGCACTGTGAAGAAACCTGTAATAAAGATTGCTGCTCAAGCCTACCCTGCAGAACCTCTACAGCATCAGGGAAATCAACCTACTGGTATTACTGGGACGTAGCTGCTCACCATGTTAACTGGGAGACGTTGCCTATGTAAAGGCTGACAGTATGACTGTCTGTTATTTAGTGCTGCTTGCACCTAAATCTCAGAGACAAACACCACAAAATGCTGCAGAAGTTGACGATAAAGCTGACCCTTCCAGTTACTGCAGTGTTATTGCATTACATCAGATTATAACATGATCTGGTTCTGATCAGTCTGTGTACGTTAAAGTTGAACTGAAAGTATCTGGTGGTGTATTCCTGCTCATCATCATCATCATCTAAGAGCTCTAAGAGCATCTGCTGGTAAAAGATAAAAGGAAGAATAAAGGGGAAAGAAACTCAAGAGAAGAGAGGTTCAAATAAATCTATTTTTTTCTCAAAACTTGAGACGTGAAAGCTGTGATTACCCAGAATGCTCGTTAACGCCGGGCGTGTGCCGAGGGGGGAAGTCTGCAGAAGCTGCTCTACTCAGTTTAAATCCAAGCACAGGGTCATACCGTACCGAGCCACAGATTAGGAGGAATCGTGCATTCGCTTTCAAAGGTGAACACGTCACTTCTTTTGGAGCCTTGGATCATTCCTATCCAGGAGGAAGGTTGTGTTTTATTTCCAGGAAGAGGCAGTAAAAAGAATTACTACTTACAGCTTTTCTTCAATTAAATACTCTCAAGTTTTTAATTTGTTTCCACACCTCAGTGGGACAGAGTAATTTGAATGTTTCTGTTGACTTCTTTTCTTCCTAACAGTGAAAAACCTGATGATTTAATTATCAGGCAATTAGCATCTACAAACGTTCAAGCAGAATGAAACGCCGGGACAGCAGACACAACGTGACAACATCAAAAACACTCGAGCACCTGTTTAAACACCTCCAAGTTCTGTCTTTACTTTGTGTTTCTTCAAATTCAAACGTGTTCCTTCAAGTTTGGGTAACAAAGTAACACTTGTAGCAAAACTTTAATTTCTCCCAAGATTCAAAAGTCTAAAGAGGTCAAAATGTCAATAACATAAGTGTCAGTTTAGCATTCACCATGACAAATCTCATATATAAAGCCTACGATTTAACTTCCTTCAACCTGTCAACAGCTGCTGAGAATCTGCAAGCTGCTTTGCAACCCTCCTCCACCCAGCGCCTGCTTTTAATGCTCTGTCCAACTTAATAAGCAACACAACTGTAAGTTCAGGTGAAATAAGGACACATTTTCACTGACGTGGTCCCGACAGGTAAGAAGCCAAGCTTACATCTTAAAACAGCTGAAAACAAACAACAGAAAAAAGGTTGTTTTTCTCTTCATCAGTTAATCGGCTGATTGTTTCAGCTCCGACAGTTTATTTAATAAGAGTGCAGATCGTCTATTAACAACTCATCTCTAACCAGCTTAGTCTGAGCTTCCTCTGCAGTGGGAGGCGTTTATGTCAACGCTTCATCCGGACCGTGACATTTTCTCCTCGGCTTAATAATCGCACATAAGAAACAAAACTCGTTACTGTTTCGAGCCTGTCAAAGGAAAATGTAATTAATAATAATATAGTAATAATATACTATATATATACTGCCTTTTGGTTTTATGGTTTTAAACTAAACATACGGAGCTAGAAAGCTAAAATCGATGTGGAAGTGTCAAAAACTGTACTTCCTCTAACCTCCACTTGAGGCTGCCTTTAAAACTGAGCCACTCCCCTGTTATTGGATTTTGGTGAAGGTTAAATTTAGGGGTGTGGCCTCTTTGGGTCACTGAACTGGATCTGTTAACTGTGTTTGTTGTTGCTGACAATTATTTTGGCCTAACAGCCGAAACATCACAGATCAGCTTCCTGTTTAAAATGTGAAAATATTACCAGCCTGTTACTGCAGATGATCACACACCTGTGTGTGCAAACTGAGCCAGCTCACATCGGATGATAACTTTCTTCTGTCTGCAGAGAAGCAAGCTAAAGGCCAACAACATCCTGCTTTGATGCACGTATTTAATCCTGATTCTGGGCGACGCTGTTTCAGATTCTTTCTTTACGTTAATGCCTCCTCCGTCTGTGCCTCTACCAGCGCGTTGTTGTTGTGTTTGACACGTTATGGCCATCTGCAGACTTGCAGTGGTAAAGCTAATGACACCATTTTTTAAACCTCAGAGAGATGATGACATCTTCCTCCATGACGTTCTGCAGAGGGAAGCAGTCCGTCACTTTAACTCACCCACAGATCCTTTGGCGGCGATGGCCACCGTCTCCAGGAGCACCTGGACGATGCCGGCTCTGACCCGCGGCGTGTTCTTGTTGTTAGTGTCGAGGTGGTTCAGAACCTGCTGGATCACGTGGTGCGAGTGCTGAGCCTGAAAAAGCCAAAGAGGATTTCAAATGATGTTTGGAACAAATATAGAGTTTGCTGTCGATCACATGGTGAACTTCACAGACAGACTGTATATAAATGATGGAGCAGCTTCTGAAGCCACGTCCTACAGACTCGAGCGGACAGTGTTTTTAGACCAGACGTGACGAGCAGCAGGAAACGATACACTCGCACCAGGGTGAAAAGTGTCAATCAGCAGGTAGGTCCGCTGTAAACAGTACGATGATCTGTTTTACTCTAAACGCGACCTTTGTTTACAAAATGAGCATCACGCTAGATTTAACAAAACCATGAAACGAGACCACAAACTAATCGGAAAATGCTGAATTATGTCATATGTTAAAGTTACAATTTGCAACTTTTTCCAATAAATTTCTCTACAATGACAGTTCTCTGAACCAGGAGGCGCCTCCTGCTGGCCAGTAGAAAGAATGCAGCTAAGTGAGACTTTTTCAGTTTGCAAAAATCATTTATGATTAAATCCTTAAATCATATTATGTGATTTACTATCACACATTCATCAAATGAACTTTTCTTCATGCAGAATTATTAACATTAAATAGAAAAAGTTTATAGTTGTAGTTAGTGAACGTCTGAGCAGGTGCGGCTGATTCTGTTATGCTGGAGGAGGATTTGTGCTAGCATGCTGCTGAATGCAGATACTAGACAAAGTGTTCTTTCATTTGTTGCTAATAAACCAGCAAATTTCCACTGAAACGAACATCTTACAGCGGCTGTAAAACTGGACAAACTGCAGCAGCAATAATCCGCTGAAGTTCATAGAGAACAAACAAACAAGTGAAAGTGAAGAAATGTTTGTTTTTCTTTAAAGCATCTCAGTTATTAAAGCAGTCTGTAGTATTTCCTGCTCGCTGCGTCTCCTCTCTCTGTGCAGCTGAACTGCTATAAAACAGTTACTTCAGAAGGCGACCTTTGACATCGAGGAAGTTTTTGTGAAGCTGCTGGATGTGAACTCGACCTTAAAACATCTCCAGCAGCTGCTTTAGACAGAACTTTTCCTTTTTAAAGACTCGGCATGTCAGCAGAGCTCTCGACTACTGGTTTTCACTGCTTCCAGATCAAATCAGCTCCATTTTTTAGCCTCTGCCATCTCGACCTACATGTCAGAGGAAGTGCAACGTACCTGGATGGAGTACATGATGATTCTGAAGCAGGAAACTGCAAACTCGTTGGGGTCCCACAGGTGATGGTTATCCAGGTGACTGAAGGAAGAAGAAAATAAAGTGATTATTCAATCGACCCAGTTCTGAGGAGCATCCCTGCAAAGACTGCATCTTTAAAATGACACAATCCAGAAATCGCACACAGACTCGGCTGCATGAATGAGAACGGATTTATAATCTGTCAATATTAGTGTTATGATTAATATAATCCTAATATTATAATCCATCAGGGGTTTTCAGAGGTTGGTGAACTCTCTCCTGTCCTGTGTCTTTGGAAACAGCCGGAGCTCCTTCATCCTTCCTGCTACTACAGCAGTTGTGCTGTCAGGGAGTTCGGGATGAAGCCTGACTGACGGCCGGCTCATGTTTGCTGTTGTCAGATCTCCCTCTCTGCTGTTTGGCTGCTTTGAATTATTTAAAGGATAATAATAATAATAATGCTGCATTGCTCTGAGCCACAGATTCAGAGTCAGTTCAACATTTTTATTGCGTAACAATGAAGAACAACAACACAACAAAAACAAATAAGAGTAACAAGAAGAAAAATAAAAAGTTCATCACTGACTTTAGTCAGTGGATGTCAGGCTGAGAGTCTGCAAATTAAATCTCATCGTGGTTCAGTGATGAGCAACAATAATCATCATCAGCCTTCATGTCAGGATCACAGCCCAGCTGTGTAAGTGAAGGATGTGCTGCTTGCAGAGTAACACAGACAGATTATAATTAGATCGTGCAGAGGAGGATCAGTCGCATAAACACAAAAATGCAGGAAAACTGAAAATCTGACTAACACAGGCCATGAACACGTATGGTATGTGTTCGAAGATGAACCGAGTCGTAGAGGCTCGCACACACTCGGTCACAGATTTAAAGAAGCATCGCGTGGGTGTGCGTGAAGGTGAGGAAGAGGAGCGGTAACGATCGATAACGGCAGATTTAATCACCTCAGTGGGAGCGAGGTAAACTCATCTATCGCATATATGTGCATACATACAAACACGCGGGGAGGACGGCTTATTCGCCCAGCGGCTCACAGCTCAGAGCGTGCAGAGCTGGTAGAAAGAGACGTGAACATTAATTCCCTGACAATAAAGCTTCCAGGGCTGACGGGAGTGTGGAGAGATGCCGTTCCTCTGACGGCCACTTGAAGATTCCCATCTCTGCTTTATCTTTATCTTTAGAGCGCTGGCTCGTCTTCATCAGCTCATGTTTGTGTCTGCTCAGGTATCAGGTTCATTTAGGAGGCTGCTCAGAGTGCCAACTGCTGTTTTTATGGTCGTTACTTCATATCCTCCCTGTATGAAGCACAACAGCGGCCGCTTATTTACACCAACACTCTGATCGCTGTGAGGCACGTTTATCTGTTCATATGATTCAAGATGGCTCTGCTACGAGTGTCATCAAGTGGGAGCTTTCCATAATTGGAAAATTCATACCCATCGACACGGATCGATAAATAAAACGGCGCTGTGTGAACGAGAGGATGTGGCTTGTTCTGTAAGGCGCTTTGAGCGGTCGATAAGTCCAAAGGAGATCGTTATGTATGCAGTCCATTTACAGGCTCGTATTGTAGGCGTGGATTGATTATGTGACAACAGACGAGAGCTGTCAAAGGCCACACCGCTGCCCTGCGTGAGAGCAAGACGAATAAAGATGGAGGGATCGTTTCCAGCCCTGCTGAGTGACCCGTATTCTGTCGTTACGCGACCTTATCGCGCCACCTGACCATCACAGATTTCTCTAAAAATTCCCGGAGCAAAGATGCACTTCAACGGGAAGTTTCAGGTCTCTACGTCTGTGAAGGTTCTCAGTCATCCAGGTCAACGTAGTCTAAGAAGTTTGGAAAGAAAAGCATCTGGACTTCTTTAAGTTTCTTGAAGACGTTTCATCAGAGAAGCTTCTTCAGTTCTAAGAACAACTGGTTTTAAGCCCTATGGGAGTGTCTGCAAGAGGGTCATGGACCCCTATTGATTCTCCCTAGTTGGAAAATCAGAAGGACAATCAGAACAATATTGTCATCCCTCATCAGATTCAGAAGTTTCTGATAAGGGATGACAATATTGTTCTGATTGTGTAGCAGGTTTATCAGAGAAACTCAGGAGAGTCTTCTCCAAGCACGACATCCCAGTGTACTTTAGACCCACCCACACACTCAGACACAAACTGCTTCATCCCAAACACAAACTTAATGTGGTGTATGCTGCACAGTGTAGTGAGGAATCCTCAGACCTCTACATTGGAGAGACCAAACAGCAACTTCATAAGCGCATGGCACAACATAGAAGAGCCACCTCCACGGGACAAGACTTGGCTGTCCACCCTCATCTAAAGGTCAAAGGTCACTCTTTTGAGGATGCCAATGTTCACATTTTGGACAGAGAGGACAGATGGTTTGAAAGAGGAGTGAAAGAATCCATCTATGCCCACTGTGAGCGACCATCTTTGATCAGAGGCGGGGTTTACGACACCAACTGTCTGCCATCTATAATCCAGTTCTGAGATCCTTCCCAGACGCCTTAACGCCCACTCCCATCCTGGGCCATCTGACCTCAGGAAATCACATGATAGGGTGGGGCCAGGTTTCACAATGAGCTCACCCGAAACTCTGGCTGATTGTGACCCACACCCAGTTTCACACCTTGGCTTGTGTGATTAGGTAGAGGATCAATAGAGGGTCCACAACCCTCTTAGGGACACTACCACAGGGCTTAAATCTGGGACTCTCCACCTACTCTTAAAACTGATGAAGCTTCTCAGATGAAACGTCTTCAAGAAACTTAAAGAAGTTCAGACGCTTTTCTTTCCAAGCTCCTTAGACTCTACTTTCATTCGTTTTATCAAACAAATAAAAACAACTAAGCGATGAACTTTGGTTGATTTTAGATTTTTTTCTTTATTTTGGGATCAGTTTATTGATTTTCAATGTCCATCATCCAGAAAACTCCTTGAGCCTATGGAGCTACATCCTTCAGATGGTTTACAGTTCATCTCTGGGCGCTGTGACGCTCAGCAGTGCAGCTCAAGAAGACAAAACAATGGATGCTCGAAGTCTCTGACAGCAGGTTTGGAGGAGGGGTTTAATTCTTTTACAGCTTCTGGAATATAATGCATATAATATTTTTCCTTCAGATGGTTTAAATCACATCTGTCCAAATCACAGATGGGGAAAATGTTCATCCCATTTCAGGTTGACATTCCCCAGATGATGCTTTTTCCCCCTCATTCTGACTCAAACCTTATAGAAACAAACAGGACAGGTAAGGATTTCCCAAACACAGTGAAACTTGAGCCTTTATTGTGAAAGGACAGTGGAGAAAGACAGGAAAGCTGGGTCAAACAGGTTTCCTGCTCAGTCCCGTGAGCGAAACTGAAGTGGTGCACCGCCCGGCTAAACCCAACAGTCCTGCATCACACCTGCCTGCAGCTCAACGCCACAATAACCACACCTGCTACGCAGCAAAGCCACGTATGCATTTTATAACATGTCACGAGATACATCGAGATCTGACTGATCATGTTGAATTTATCACCTCTGCTGAAAACGAGGCATTAAAAAAAGAGCCATTTAAGTAAGTATGCCGGGTAACTGAACGTACGAGGCCTGAAACGCTGAGGGTGACTCGGCGGTCTGACAGTAATCATGCTTTTCAGACTTGCATAAATAAAGAGAGTCGGGAGTAGAGCGAAAGAGGAGAGCGATAAGAAGGACTTGAAGCTGTTATCATGAGAACAGTTCTGCACCGTGACGTCAATTCAAACACCCCAAACTCGCCGCCTCCTCCACCCCCTCCGTTAACCCCAATCCTTGCTTGCTATTTATAGTCTGAAGACGCGCACGCACGCGCCCCCCCCCCCTCCGTCCTCCTCCCTGCAGGAGCAGCGTGGGAGGAGAGAGCGGCGCAGAGAGGAACGACGGGCTGGGGAGTGCGGCGGCTGTTCAATCGAGAGAAAAATTAAAGAGTGGAGTGCACTAATGGGAGTCTTCAGTCTTGTTCTGCCTGTCGGTTTTCTGAATGAGGCCGTAATAGGCGGGAATGTATTTGCTATTCAGAGAGCGTCGCAGCTCTGCAGACACACCAGAAAGTCTGACGTGTGATTTCTGTGTGAGGTCCCAGCAGGTTATAAACAGGTGATATACGAGTAAAAGAAAGGCTACAGGCTGTTAATTATAAATGAGAACCTGCTATAACAGAGAACCACTGCTGAGGAGACCAGTCAGAGGACACACTGCAGGAAGCTGGTGTGTGTGTGTGTGTGCGCTGCGTTTCCTTCCTCCATGCCTGAGGGTGGCGCTGCTCCCCCTGTGCAGTGCAACTTTAATCACTACTGGCAGCACTGATTGATGAAATACCAACAGAGATTTATCAAACATTTCTTCTGCTGCTGGTTACAAACTAACCCCAGAAAACTAAATGCAGCCCCGCTCAGTCAGTCAGCTCCACCTGCTGCATTTAAACCCCACCTTCAGCTACGGCAGGCGCGCTGGTCTCCAAATAACCACGCAGGGGAAGCATAACCTCACGTATTTATCACCCTGCACTGTAAAATATTTAAAAGCCTACTGGAGAATAAAATGCTGAGCTGAATAAAACATGACCGCTGAATCTTTAAAACCTGTTGTCGTGTTTCTGAACCACCTCCATCAGGTCACCAAGCTTCAGCCTTACACATTCAGACACGTCGGCAGCACCTCGTGTGGATTTCACAGGGACTAAATGTTTCTGCTCAGCAGCTTTACACACAGAGATGCAACATAAACCATTTGTATCATCATCAGGCTGGATTCTTCCAACAGTAGCAGCTCAGGGGGGCATCGCCTGACCTGCAGGGGGCGCACAATGCTAGTGAGTCAGTCAGAGCCGGAGGTGACACTGAACACACGAAGTACAGTAACCAGCTGGAAGTATAAGAATGAGACACCGCTGCAGTGTTAAAGGCTGGTTATTAGAGGCTGAAGGAGTGTGTGTGTGTGTGTGTGTGTGTGTGTGTGTGTGTGTGTGTGTGTGTGTGTGTGTGTGTGTGTGTGTGTGTGGGGTTGGCAGACACCCTGTGTCGAGTGTCAGACCTCAGATGAGCTCTGACTGGGTGTCAATAGAGAGGAAGGAGACATCATGGAGTGAAGACGGGCCTGAGTGACACAATCCAACAAATTACTCGAAAACAAAAACGTGAACTAACAAACTCTTGAAGTATTCTAAGTACGGTATTAAAGTAGTCTTCTAGTTACACACAAATTAGGTGCTTTACTTGGGTATGACTCAGAGGACAACCATGTGCTTTTTGTACCTCACTAAAATTATTTGACAGCTTTGTTTCCGTTAAAAATGAGTAATTGTATTTATTAATCTTTCTATAAACTGGCTATCCAGTCAGCAGTTTCAATATGCCAGAGGCTATGACGCTACCTGAATGCTTCTGTTTATCACAGGGTGTCTTTGTAATCAGTGGTTCATGTTCTGGTCGTCACACATGATGACACGGAGGGGTGGTGGTATATCTGACAGGTATATGAGGAGACACTGGGTCCCACTTGCTGATTCTATTTGTTTTCTCCATAGACTGTATATAAAAGATGGGCACAGCCACTGTGACATCATTGATTGGTTCGTAAAGACGTGCTGTGAAGCAGGTGGGGGTTGGAGAACCAGGTGCACCACAGTCAGCTTGTGACTGATTACTCTTGAACGTACCCTCGATAATCCTCCTTCCTGACTCTTGCAGCGACCACGGTTTACTAGAGTAACTGCTCGGATCTCCAATCAAATTCAATAAAACTGATAGTCTTTTTGCGACCATGTGTTGCCCCCTGCTGGCTGTTAAACAGAATACATGTTTAAAGCACCTTTGTGCTGGCTTCACTCTTCAGACCTGGAAGCAGCGCACTGTGGGGACTGACTCGCTTCTGGAGGCAGCCTCAAGTGGACATTAGAGGAACTGCAGACAGAGGAACTTGTTATTTGACTTCATGTTTCATTGTTTCCCCTCGCCATAACGTGAGACTATTGGCTACTTTCAGATGACTTCAAACTGCACGTAGGGAGGGTGGGTCTTATATTTCATAGCCAGGTGAGACGTGGTGGTTTGCCTTTATTCCACTCACTTTCACTCACTGCTAAGCTTTAGGCACTGAAACCTGTCCAGAGTCAGGAAAAGATGGTGATTCAGGTTAAAAAGCACCTCTTCACAAAGCTAACCCTGATGGCTGATGAATAGTGAGCTGGGAGTGACAAACCTTTCTCCCTAAAGAACACCCTGCGTCCGACAAACACCAGCAGCTTTGACAGAAGTGTTATTGAACACCGCGGGACCGAGAACAGACTGAAACTGAACTTCATACTGGGACAAGAGGCTGGTGCTATGGAGGTGGAGTTTACATGTTCCTCCTCATGTATGGACGGGTTCTCTCCGGGTGCTCCGGCTTTCCCCACGGTCCAAAAAATATGCACGGGGTTAACTTGTTATTGTAAATTGAGGTGTGAATTATCTGTCTGTGTGTTAGCCCTGAGACAGACGCGACACCAGGATGTACCCTGCCTCTTCCCCTATGACAGCTGGGATACACCCCAGACCTGAAGAGGGATGGATGGATGTTTATACTGATGCAGTAAAATGGTGCTGCTGTTTTCACCAATGCATGCTTTACTGCATGATGTGACAGGGTGGTCCATGAAAATTTGACCTTGATAAATAAAAGCGGACTATATAAATTCACCTAATAATTGCATCATACAAACTACATCTGAAAAGCCATTTTCCTACATATCATACTTTACTAAAAGAAAAATATCAGTGTTTTTATTTAGACTTTAACAGAATATTTCCTCCATCACTGCAAAAACCCTTCTGATTCGTGTTTGATTGAAGTCCAGGTGAAACCTCTCAGCAGCTCTGCAGAGGATCTGAGCTTTATAGGCTGATAGTTTTGTTGCACATTTCCTGCGTAGCTCAATCTGAGCTCCACCAGCAGCAGGTGGAGGTCTTCATCAAATAAGCTCCAGGCGTTTGTTCTTCTAAACTAAAGCCTAAATAATCTCAGAGAAGAAACAGAAATGTGTATGTAACGCAGAAGCTGGAGACCTGGGAATAAAAGAGTTTTCCCCACTGCAGAGATGTAGTTTTGCTAAGCTGTACATTTTCAGCTCACAGCCCACAGAATGAGACAGAAAATGAAGGCTGTCTATTTAAAGCTTTTCCTCCTCCTGGTGATTGTGTTCTGCTGGTAGAAAAGTGATTTTCCTCCGAGACAGACAGCCACATTGATTCGCACAGGCCGAGACGGTTTAATAAAGCCGGGGTGGAAAGAAAGAGACGTCTGAAAGACGGGGAGAGGCCAGTTTGTAGCTCCCTCGCTACAAATTGCCCTCGATGTGACATCGAGCACATCTTTGACGCATGCGGGTTTGCAACAGGTGGGGATGCATTGTATCCCTTAAAGAAACTGATCTGGGGTCAAACGGGTCACTAATGAGATGGTCACGAATGTGAGGTCAGCCTGAGGTTGTGTTTCAGGAAGAACAAAGGAGGAAGAAATGAAGAAGAAAGGACGGCGAGCGCTCAAGTATTTATTTGAAAAAGCTCTGAGGCACGAAACCAGCGAGAGGTGAGAAAAGCGGCCGCTTGCTTCCTGAAGAGGCCCTGCAGATGTCAAACAGCCACAGTGGTATTGTGTAATTAACTGCTAATGGCAGCATTAAGAGGCTCGCTCCCCCGTCTGAAAATACAAGCAGCGGTTATACAGTTAATTAACAGTCGTCGCTCTGACTCCAGGCTGAAGAAACAACAAAAACACAGAAGAGCGAAAAAAATGATTTTAGCTCATTTCTTTTCTCACAGCCGACCTGTGAGTTTGACTCATCTCTGACGACCTTCAATGATCAGTTCTGGCACCTCAGCGCGTATCAATAAAGACGTGGTTTGATGATGGCTGCACGGGCAGAGACCCTCCCCAGCTTCAGCTTTCTGAAAATCGGATTTGCTTAGGCTGCTGCCCCCGCGACCCGGCCTCGGATAAAGCGGATGAAGATGGATGGATGGATTTGTCACTGATAAGTGTAACATATCATGTTTTATACAGTATTCATTTAAAACAAGCAACTCAACACATAAAAAAATAAAGATCTAAAAGCATCCATCTTCACTTTTTCACTGGGTCAGTTGACTTTGTGTTCAGCCCAGGCAGTGTGGACTGAGCAGCTGAGCAGCAGCTCTTGTTTCTGTAACGGCAATTAAAACCATTCTCAGACTTTTCCCAGCAAAACTAAACTGAACTGTTCAGCTGCAAAGCTACGCTAAAGCTACGTAAGCTACAGTAAAAGCTGTGCAGATAAACTCTCAGCTGAGTTTGCCATCATCTTTGATTTGGGTAACTTTGCTGCAGGCTGACAGCAGCTCTGTGCTTCCTGTCATGAAATGTAGAAACATGCACGTGATGGTCTGAGGCTGGAGCAGCGTAACGCATGGCAACGCATGGCAACGCATGGCAACGCATGGCAACGCATGGCAACGCATGGCTTGTTTTTGCATTTCGAACATGATGTGATTTTGAATATATATATATTTATATAAATGTGTAAACTGTGACTGTTCCTGTTGTTCCTCTTTGTTTTGAACAGACTCAGAAGTGGCATCTTTATAAAATCCATCCGTCTGTATCGCAGGTGGAACGGAGGCCCAGCCTAAACCAACCAAATTGACAGCACCGCCCACGGAGCCAGGCTGCTGAACACAAAAACCTAAACAGCTACTTTAAATATCTGCACGAGCTGGGGAGGATAAAAAAGCCGCCTCCACTCATCGGTGCAGAAACAGAGAAAACCTCAGTGGGCTCAGCGTTCGCTTGGTAATTGTCCAATTTAGGTGGACAGTGCCGAGTGGCGGGCCGGTGCATCCAACAGGAGCAGTGTTGAGGATGTCGGAGTCCCAGGAGGGGTTGATGAGGGGAGGGCATGATCAGCGGCTGGAGGCGGTGTGCAGCATTCACGTGGCAGCTGATAACAGAGCTCATTTAATTTCCTCTGTGTGCTGGGAGTCAGAGAGGGTGTGAGAGGGAAAATGAAAGAAAGCCAGTGTATAGATATATATAAACCTGTGTGTGTGTGTGTGTGTGTGTGTGTGTGTGTGTGTGTGTGTGTGTGTGTGTGTGTGTGTGTGTGTGTGTGTGTGTGTGTGTGTGTGTTCGCACTTATTGGCGGCAGATTTATTTGGCGTCCCGTCACCTCTCCTCCTCTCTGTGTCATGAACCCAACATGTAATATAAATCTGCCGTGTTTCCGCAGAGTGACGAGGAGGCGGCAGGAATGTGACGACGCCCAGGCGATGTGGAGCAAACACAGAGATGCTGTTATTATTTTTTCAATCAATAACAGCCGCAGTGCCGCATGGATTCAGCACGGCTGCTCAAACTCTGGATCAAACACTGCATATACTGAAAAAAGGCTGGTAACAATATCTCAGTCCTTTAAACTGGGAATCAGATCTGTGTTCTAACACACACACACACACACACACACACACACACACACACACACACACACACACACACACACACGTTTCAATAGCACATCTTCAAGCTTCACAGAAAAGATGAGGAGGCAGGAAGTCAGCAGGGAGAAGCCAGTCAATTTTCAAAATAAAAGACTACCGGCAGACTTAAATGCTCCGTTTCTGAAACACTCGTGGATCCACCGTGCGCCCGATGATAAACCGGGGGAGACATCTGGAACACTTATGGGGAGCTTATCACAGTAAGTCTGAATCCTCAAGGAGCGAGTGTACGATACTTCAGGTACTCACACCAGCACGGGTCGCACAGCGTTGTTCATGTTGCCGTACGCCGCTCGGCCCAGCAGCTCTCTGAAGCAGTTCTCAGCCAGCGCTGACGGGTTCTCCTCGCCATCCTGACCCGCCCCCGATGGCGTGTTGGGGTGTCCCGCCCTGCCAGAGAGACCAAAACAACAACAGAGAGGATGCTTAGAAAGAAAAATTAAAAATACCCCCCTGCGGTGACCGTTCACGAGAAACAAACACCTTAAACAAGCTGGACTGAAAACAAGAAAGCAAATTATTTACTTAATGTTTAAATGACTGAACAACAACCAAGAATCAATTCATCACATTGAACACAAAAATCTGTACAGGACGAACGACGCAAGAAGCTTTCAGGCCATAAGGAAGGAAGGAAGGAAGGAAGGAAGCCAGGAGGAAAGAACAAGTACAGAATAACAGGAGAAAAGATCTGAAAAGAATCAATCAGAGCAGCTGGGAAAAAAGGAGAAATCAATGAGGGTATCGACCTGCCTCAACCAGAGGGGTGTGTGTGTGTGTGTGTGTGTGTGTGTGTGTGTGTGTGTGTGTGTGTGTGTGTGTGTGTGTGGGTGTGTGTGTGTGTGTGTGTGTGTGTGTGCGCACAGACAGAGGAAACAGAAACACTGCAAAGTCTGTGCCAGGCAGAGATTTTAACAGGCCTTCCTTCACTGCGACATCAGAAAAGAGAGAAGAAGTCAGGACTGAAATAATGACTTTGATTGGTTCACTGATGAATCATCGAGGCTTCTGACTGAATGACTGAGCGTTCAGGCCGGCTGCCTGTCCGATGGGTCAGCTATCGCAAACCAACAGTGCAAACCTTCAAAGGCTGAGGATTACTGTGTTACTCTCGAGGGGAAAACTGTAATAAAATCAACAGTAACCAGATAAAGATGAAACTACTGTAAACAGAGAAGAAACACAGAGTTATAGAAACGGCCAACAGCAGCCATGCCCTTCTATCCCACGCGTTGTAGATACTCACAAGCAAAGAATAAGAGCTGAGCAGGAAGCAGTGGCTTTTGATTTACTGGTCAGGTAGCCGCAGCCACAGTCACGAGTTTGGGTAGTGACCTAAGGAATGAGATCAAAGATGCAAGCAGCAGAAGAGTGCGTGGGCTCAGCCTCAGAGACAGGCTGAGGAGCTCAGAGCAGAGCTGCCGCTACGCCACATCAAAAGGATGCAGTCTGGGTTATTCAGCATCTGACAAGGATGAGACGCCCATCTGTGAGACCTCATTCTGCAGAGATGATGTCTCTCTGCTGGCTTTCCAGAGCAGCTGAAAAGAGGCAGGTCTGCCTGCAATCAACCTCTGGAGCTCTTTTGTCCCGTGTCCTCCCTCCACCCCAACCGGTTGCAGCGGATGGCCACCTCTCCCTGAGCCTGGATCCGCCAGAGGTTTTTCCTTCCCACTTTCGCCAAGAGCGTGCTAATATGGGGTTTTCTTTCTATAATCGTAGGCGCTTTACCTTACAATAGAAAGCTGTGCAAGGAGCAGAAAACAACTGAAGACATTCAAGGTTTGCAGAAAGAGTCTGACCACTTAAAAGACAAAATAAAGGTGTTGGAGACACTTAAACATACAGACTTTCCACTTCAGGGTTAATAACACATTTTAACAAGCTTGTAGACCTTTGTTCATGCCCAATAAACCCATTTGTTGCTTGAAATAAACCTTTTTCACTCACACATACATTTGTAGAAGTCATACCTTTGTCATAATAAATAAAGCTGCTTTCTGCAGGCATGAATGCAGAGCTGCTTTAATAACTGAGCTGCCTTTTGAGCCAAAACTCAAATCCTGACAGACTTTGGTGGATCACTGTCACCTGCAGAAAAAGAAAACAGTCTGAGGAGCAGGAGCCGCAGCCCAGCAGAATGAGTAAATAATAATGAGCGGAAGATTTCGGAGTGTGGCTCTGCAGAGGTGACAGTAAGCCCACCAAGAAATGTTTAGCGCCGCAGCTGCAGCAGAGCGAATTCTGATATCAGAAAATAATAAAAAGTAATCCTAATGAGCTGTCAGACGATGACGTCGAAAGCAGGACCGAGATGTGGAAGAGCAGGAAGAGAGGCAGATAAGTAATGTTGAGGATTCCTGTTTTGTAATTTACAAACATCACCTCGCAGCCAATGAGAAGCGAGTCCTCTCACGCCCGTGGGCTCTCTTCTCTGTAATGAGACTGGACCTGTTGTGAAATGTCAGCTGACAACAGGGTTAAAGTTCAACTTATTTGAAGCTCAAGCTCGTTGGGCGAGGTGTGAAATCTGAGGTGTGCAAGCTGTCCGAGACAGCACCGCTGCAGGGAGCTGAAGATGCTGCAGAGGGCTGTCAGCGACGTACATGAGCCACGTAAGGTCAACATGGATGTTGACCATTTTTTATATTTCTATTTTCTTCTTCCTTCCTATTTTATCATTCAGATTTTTAGAACACCCTAAAAATTGGGAAAGCCTGAGGATGGCGGTTGTCCTGCACCTGTGCTCCAATAAACCGGCCTCAAGAGCACAAACAGGAAGCAATCGTGTTGTTGTAGTGATGCGTGCGGACGCCAGAGTGCCTCCTCCTGACCTCCTGAGAGTCAGCGGGGACTTTTTGTACAATAACTTTATCATATTTAACAAAGTCCTTCATGCTGTGAATATTTACAGGCCCTGGAAGCTCTTAGAGATGGGGGGACATTTGATGTAGTTCATTGAAACCATGTTGACACTCACAAAATGAGACTGTGGATATAAAATTGATTTGGTTTGAGATTAAATGTGTTTGTATAGACAGCGCCTGCATTTATAAAGAATACAGGCGCTTTCTTTATAAAGACAAACCCAACAATAATAATACCTGTGTAGTTTGAGGGCCTGTAGTCTGAGATTGTTTTAAACTACATTAGACAATCATAAAATATTAACATTTTAAAAAGAAACTGAACTACTGAAACACAGCTACGCACTTTATTAATGCCCTGTCATTGTTCCAGTTATCATCGTTGGACCCGTTTTTGGTCCTGAACTCGTCTCATCTCAGCACGAGGTGGACAAAAATCGAATTTAAACTGGATTTTAAAGCTGTTGTTTGGGAATCAAATGATCAAAAACTAAACTTTCTGCTTATGTGATGATCCGAGTTCAGGGTTTGGGTGGGTCACGGAAGATTTTTGACATTTCAAACTGGACCGCAAAGGTCCGAAGTCTGGGATTGGCTTCGTCTGCAAGACGAATGAATCGCTTTATAAGAGGACAGGATTTTAAGACACCATGAATGAACTTTCTGAAGATTTCTATATTGAATATTTAGTAACTACGATGACTGGGGAAGGTCACGGTAATCATCTCGAACGCTGTTTGCTGCATCTGGACCTCCTTCCAAAGAGGTGTTGCAGCACTTTAATAAATGCAGAATAATCCTGCGTCGTTTCTGAGAGAACAAAGTTATTATTCACAAAGCCACAACCCGGGCCTATTTTAAGCAGCAAACTCCAAATGCTTCATGTTGATGGAGGAAAGATGCTGCCAATTAGTTTCTTCTGCCGTCTTGTTGGTTGGAGTTTTCCTGCAGAGCTTCCAGGAATCCACAGTCCTGGCCGGAGACCAGGAGAGCCTCATGTTATGTGTTATATTGATAAAATAATGCAATAGTAAATAATTTCCCAAGCAATAAGCCTGGTCACAGATGGACTGTAGGCAGCCAGCTCTCAGGAGGGAAACAATGCAATTACTGACAGCCCACACGGGCGGTTCAGGGGAAATTAAATGCTTATTGCTTGTTAGAAGCAGGGAAATGAGGCAAAAATGAAAATCTCTGATGTTATAGGAGGTGGGCTGTTGTTATTTAATGAAATAGAAGAAACTTTGCTGAAGCCAGACTTTTCCTGATGATTGCTCACTTTAGGAAAAAAATTGTTAAAACATTCCAGAACAAAAAAAACGGTCAGATAGAAACTCAATTTCAAGCCTCCACGGGAAAAGAAAAGTCTGAAAGGATTTACAGCACACGTGAAAAGTTCATGTTTGATGTCCTACAGTCTAAAAAAAAAAGTTTATTCACATGGTGGCGTTTCGGGGGTTAAACATGGAAATAATAAAGAGCTTCAGTCAATCCAAAAACTAAACTGGGACTAGAAAGAGAGACCACATTTCTCCCATTTTGGCTTCTCTTGGCTTTCTTCATTCAGATCTAGACTAATGAGGCCCCATCATATCTTAAAGCAGCGGGCCCAACCTGTTTTGGGCCACGGACCGGTTTAATGTGTGGCGGATAAATACAACAAAATAAAACTATACGACCAAGACAAGAACTGTGGTATTTTGTAAATATAATAATAAATGCGAATTCACCCTGTAATTGTGTAACTTAATTAGCAGCGTCCTCCTGAAATGCGCCAACAACATTGAGAGTAACATCCTCCTCTCTTCCCCCAAGTTTCTAAAAGTAGAATGGGAGGCAGAGCCTTCAGCTCCGCCTCCGTGGAAACAGCTCCCAGTTTGGGTTCAGGAGACAGAAACCTGCTTACTAAAATTAAACTTAAGACTTTGCTTTGTCAGCTGTAGATATTCTTATGCTGTGTGTTTCTTAACAGGACTTTTACTGTGAAATCAGCTGAAAAACCTGGAGTTTTCTGCAGATTTCACAATAAACGTCCGGTTGAGAAATAAATATTTTCTGTCCACTAAAACGCTATAGGCCTTTTAATTTGAAACAGATACTGGAGTGGTTTAACAGAGCTGTACCTCCAACAGAGTGGGGGCCAAACAAAAATATTAAAATAGACCAATAATCATTTTCTTACTCCTACTGTTCTACTATTGTACCAAACAGTAGGACTAAGAAAAAGACAGCAGGTGAGGCAAATCAGGGTCTATGAGATGAGACACAGAGTTTATGTGAATGATGCAAAAATGTTCCTTAATCCTGGTTTACTTTTCATTTCTGAGCTTATGTTTAATGTGCAAACCAGCAGCTACTGCAAGCTTTTGATGTTTGCAGGTTACTCAATGCAGCAGATGAATCTGTGAAGCAACCAGCACATCGTTAAGATCAATGTGTTTGTCTTTACTGGATTTCAGCTGGGTTAGCTAAATGTGAATATTCTAAGGAAAGCCTCCTTGATGCACTGACCACTCCTCTCTT